GTTTTAAGCGTTTGGAGGGTTTTTAAGCGTTTAAGGGCTGGCAAACGGCAGGCTTGGACGCCCATAAGAAGACATTGATGTGTGGCCTTGGAGTGCCTGTTGGCTGCAGGATGAAGCATTCCAAGGATTTTAAGTCGGCCCATAAGAAGCCATTGAATGTGTTCCTCGGTGGCTTTGGCTGCAGGATGAAGCATTCCAAGGGTTGTTTAAAAAGGCGGCCCATAAGAAAGCCATTGATTTGGTGGCTCGGGTTGCCTGTTGGCTGTCGGATGAAGCATGCCAAGTCAGCGTTTTAAGGGTTTAAGGTTTTAGTTGGAGGGTTTGAGGGTTTAAGGGCTGGCAACGGCAGGCTTGGACGCCCATAAGAAGCCATTGATGTGTGGCCTTGGGGGGCCGGTTGGCTGCAGGATGAAGCATGCCAAGGGATTGTTTAAGCGGCCCATAAGAAGCCATTGATGTGTGGCCTTGGGGTGGCTGTTGGCTGCAGGATGAAGCATGCCAAGTAAGCGTTTTAAGGGTTTTAAGGTTTTTAAGGGTTTGGAGCGTTTTAAGCGTTTAAGGGCTGGCAAACGGCAGGCTTGGACGCCCATTAGAAGGCATTGATGTGTGGCCTTGTGGTGCCTGTTGGCTGCAGGATGAAGCATGCCAAGGGATTGTTTAAGCGGCCCATAAGAAGCCATTGATGTGTGGCATCGGGGTGGCTGTTGGCTGCAGGATGAAGCATGCCAAGTCAGCGTTTTAAGCGTTTTAAGGGTTTTAAGGTTTTTAAGGGTTCGGAGCGTTTTAAGGGTTTAAGGGCTGGCAAACGGACGCCCATAAGAACCCATTGATGTGTGGCCTTGGGGTGCCTGTTGGCTGCAGGATGAAGCATGCCAAGGGATTGTTATGCAAAGGGATTGTTTAAGCGGCCCATAAGAAGCCATTGATGTGTGGCCTTGGGGTGGCTGTTGGCTGCAGGATGAAGCATGCCAAGGAAGCGTTTTAAGGGGTTTAAGGTTTTTAAGGGTTTGGAGCGTTTTAAGGGTTTAAGGGCTGGCAAACGGCAGGCTTGGACGCCCATAAGAAGCCATTGATGTGTGGCCTTGGGGTGCCTGTTGGCTGCAGGATGAAGCATGCCAAGGGACTGTTTAAGCGGCCCATAAGAAGCCATTGATGTGTGGCCTCGGGGTGGCTGTTGGCTGCAGGATGAAGCATGCCAAGTCAGCGTTTTAAGGGTTTCCCAAAGCATGCAATTTTCATGTCCAAATGCCTGGAAGTCTTAACTGGAGGACGAAGCATGCCAGGAGAATGTTTACGCGATGTGGCCTTGGGGCAGCTTGCTGGCTGCGAGATGGGTTTGACCTTGGAAAGCGAAGAAGGAGAAGTTCCACACCTGCGGTGGTCCCAGGCGCCGCCCCTGCCTTGGCCAAGGCCGGGGTCGGCGGATATACTTAGGTTTACACCATAAATGGGGTATTGCATAGTATTTCTACGTCGAAAATGGCGGAAAATCATCCAACGGCGGAGAACTTCCATTGCCAAGTTGGATTGCCAGAGGGTTTTTTCTCCATGGTAAAATCCATGGGCCCTTGGAGTCAAATTGTCTCTAGTCATTAGAGTGTGCGCATAGTGATTATTTGAATCATTAGTAACCATTCGATAATATGAATTCTAATTCAATCTTTCCTAAAAAGCTGGATTTCTAATGATTTTATAATCATTCGAATTTGGTCATAGTAACCCAGCTTTTTAGAAAAGGTTGAATCCTAAAGTGCCCTCAAGTGCCCGGGACTCCGGTTGAAGATATTGGATTTTTGGCGATCTTCAAGTGTCATGACGGAAAAGAATTGGATATACCCAGTGACCCAGCACGCTCGCATCCAAGAAGCATGTGGGATTGGTAATTATGCATAAATTATGACATCACCTGATTATTTGTTCAAGAAAAAAGTGAAAAATGGGCGAACACCCACCAACAAAGACCAGGAGATGGATGAAAGCCAGAAATTCATTCTTGTGTGTTCCCCACTTGTTGTACTGGTACATAGTTGAATCGCCATCTATTGCCGCTGAAGTTGCCAGGAGTCCAATCTGAAGTGACATCCGCAGGGTCAGATACCCTCAACGCAGGGACACCGGACTTTGCCACACCATGACAACTCATGACATACCTCAACCTATCCATGAGACTTGATGCATCATAGATTAGAAGATGCTTCTGGAATTCTGGAAGTGTTTGGACCCCAACATTTGAGATTTTCTGAATGAACACTGGCAATTGGTTGTGTACTTCCCAAGCCTTGGGACACATCAGTTGAAAGAGTTGCAGACGCCCATGCCACCCCAACAGCTTCGATTCTGAGCCAATTTTGACGACAACAAATGGAGAGCGCCGTCGCTGCCAATTGCCATGGTTGATTCGCCCCCGCCCATTGTCCTTGCGTGTCCCTTTTGCAAACACATAGCGTTTGATGGCGACCAATCAAGGCTGGGCGGGGAAGGGGTGGCACAAGGCAGGCCTTCAAGATCGCATCTATATATGTGGGAAAGAAATCATGTTCTTTCTCTATCTGGGTGCAAAAAACTATGTTGGGATCCAACCCTTTCCAGCTTCCAACATGAAATGCTGCCATTTGCTGAACCAACTCCAGGGCCAGCCCCCAATTTGTGGCACAAAAAAGTGTCCAACTAGTTCGATTTAAAATGTCAATCAGAATCATCTATCAATGTCCATTAGTCCAAATGTCAGTCATATTAATCAAATTCCATCAAACTCCATTAATTTCATGCAAGTCCCATTAAAATTCAAATTCATGGCATTCCCACGATATCAATCGATATCACATGTCAAATTCCACTTCAATTACCAGAGGTCTCCCTAGCCGGTCCAGGTTGGACAGCCAGACGCTCAGCCGCGCTCTTGGAGCTGATGGCGGAGTTCGGTGACCTACACATCGTGGCGGGACGGGAGCAGGTCGAGATGCCGGGATGCAAGTTGGGTTGACAAACTTGGGGCATTGGGCACCACATGGCACCACTAACCGCTATATTTTACCATTCATCACCCATATTTTTGATGGTTTATACATGCTTATACCAACCATTTATGGTAAAATGGGAGGCTGATGAGATTGTAATGAATAATCCCTTCCCTCATATCAAACAGCCCCATTCATGTTAAACCGTGTGTTTTTTTGAGAGGGAATGAAACCACATTTCATGGGGACCATTGGGCGTGGGGTTGTTGATGGTTGTTTATTTTTTTCGGGATGGGATGAGTAAGACTTAGATGGTGAGTACCAATTATACTATAAGAAGTTATATTATATATATATATGTTGATATATCAATGTTAATATTAACCGATTTGTAATGTATATTACTAGGTTTATGTATGACTTAGGTATTACTATTGTTATTCAATCTTATTAATATTAATTAATACTACCCATGTAATATATTGTAATATTAATGTACTATGAATCTAATGGGTAGTATACATTGCTATTGGTGCTTTTAATGTACTACCAATTCATTCGCAATTCATTGGCCATCGAGGAAAAAATGGATATATGATGATATATGTTAAAATTGGGTACAAGTAGATGGCCCCATAGGCCATAGGGCTTCAATTTTGGATGGTCACTGGGACCAAAGTCACTGACCGTCCAATGGGTGGTTGGCACTGAGGTGAGTGCTGGTCATTTGGTTCGGAATGAAAGTCATGTGTTCATGACTTTTATTCATACATTTCTTACCACTGAGGTGGCAGATTGGAACATGTAGTTAAAGCATGTTAAAGCATAATCATTGAAAGTTCTATGACCTTGGGTTTTAGATGTTTGACCTTCCATGCACCGCAGCAGTCATCCAATTTCTGGTTTCAATCCAGTAATTGTGCGAAGCATCCGTGTATCTAGTAAAAACTCCGCATTTTTCATCTTGACACCCTTCATGTTTCATCATGACTCATAATTATGAGTCGATCATTCTCGAGCAAATCCCAGCAAAGTCCGAGTATAAGTACCCCATTGTTTCCTGATGGAAACCCATGTGTTTTTCGATGTTTTTCGTCATTAATTGCCCCAAGTTGGTGAAATATATCCCAATCATATCCCATCAAAACATCCTATATATTATATATCCTATGAACATCCCATGAATTGAAATTCCACATTTTTTCTCAGCCATTGGAGCTATAAACCCAAGTCACAGGAGTTATGTTAACCAACTTTGCTAACGAACTGGCCATGAAAAATTATTATCCCATTCGTATCCCATCAAAAACTCATGATTTTTCCTCAAGTATGTTTCCTCATCTTTTGAAAAGTTTCACCAACAGCTCTGAAAATAGGCTTTGCCTCCAATTAATCCCCCAATTATAGCCATTGCTTGGGTAGGAAAATGATCATTAAACTTCATTAACATGCACTAACCATTAACAACAACATTAATTAACCATTGGGCTTTATGGATCAGCCATTCATTAAACATGGGGGTTTCGGGCCCCACGGCCACGGCCAGGTTCCCGCCAGTCGCCTCCTCCTGGCTGCTGCCTGTCCCTCCCTGACTGTGGCGCTGAAGGCATCGCCGCAGGCGCTGCACTGGGAGGTGTCACCAGAGGTGGCCCGGGCCATCGTCGTGCCATGGAACGGACACGGGGGATGGGGATCCAAATGGTGAGTTTTGGAGAAGCAAAAAGCGTGATTGAACCAAGAAAAATCTGGAGAATTAGAGTTGATATTGATGATTTATGTGTAGCTAAGTTGGTTTCTTTCACGATTTGTTAACCATTATAAACATTGGAATGCGAATATAGTGGGTAATCGGGTAGATGATGGGTATACTCAGCATTCTCCAAATTTTGTCCCATGATCTCCCGATTGTCGTGGTGTGCCCTTTCGGAATCACCAAGGCCACTTGGATGATAAGATAAACCAACAAACATCACGGGGCACCTTGTAGCTATGGAAAATCACCCATTGGTTGGTCACTGGGACGGTGATTTGGGCGGTTTTTGCGACGTGATTTGGGTATCAAAAGGGTACCCGGTACCAGGGTACCAGAGTGTTGATCCATAGTAATACGGGAAAGATATGGAAAGTATGTTGGAAAACTTTTATGATCTTTTATGTCAGGTTGTTTTTTTCCCTCTGTTTGGGTCCATAATTGTGGATCTTTTCTTGGGTTTTTTCACCGGAGAGGTTTGTTTGCAGAAGTATCCAGGGGAGTCTTGGAGAGATGGAAGGACTTTGACAAGTACACTTGAAGGGAAAGCCGCTGAACATTCAACAATAAGAGAATCCATGTCAAGGTGTTGTTGCTAGCAAAGCCCGTGGGATGGGGAGGATGAGGATGAGGATGATGATGATGATGATGATGATGATGATGATGATCCCACGTGACATTCCTATTTTGCTGGGTGATCCCACTATAAACCACCAACTAATCGCCCAAACATAGTTAGACATCCCTACTGTCACAAAACCCATCAGACCCGCCATTTGGCTTTAAGCCAGCACGCAGTTTAAATCATTTCAAATCTCGAGTGTTCGATACATGGATTTGCAGGAAAATCTGCAGCAAACTATGGTTTTTGGTCCAAAATATCGGAGTTTCCTGCCGGTTTTCCTTCCAATGCCGTGGGAAATTTGCCGCCAGCGCTGAGGCATTTTCATGTGGAGTCCCCTCCCCCTTCGCAGGGCTTTCTGCTGAGGATGGCCGCATCGCTCGGTGTTTGCTCCGCAACTGTGGCAAAAAAACAGTGAAAAACAGCTGAAACTCCGAGGTATTCAGTCGCTTTGAGGTGGGAACAAGCATGAGTTCTTAGTGGATCAGCTTGAGGATTTTTTGGCTCAATTGTTCATCCGTAGCTGGGAGGCTGATAGTGGATTTCATATGATTTCATGGATTTTCAGGTTCTTGCGATGAGTTTTATAGTTTTATTCCACCAGATGACGTTAGAAGATCATCGGATGTCACCAGTTTTCAAGTCTCTAGATCTTTAGCTGGTGACATTCTATGACTTCGATGAAAAGCGTTGTCACTTGGGCCCAATTCGAAAATTTGAAAGAAAGATCCGAACAGAAAATAGAGATATGTGCGAAGATCGGGAAGAAACACACTTCGATTTGTTGCTCTCTCTCTCCCAGGGTGCGCTTACGTGAAACGCCTCAACCTCCACAGGTAAAGCCCAGAGGATGGTCATCCATGGGATTTACATAGCCATGATGTTTGGATTCCGAATGTGGGATAGATCACCCGTATACCATGCTTTAACCCCCTAGTAGGTGGTGAACCCCATGATGATATTTACAAGTTCAAGCACCATGAGTTTTTGATAGTTTTTGGTCACTTGAGATATCTTGAGATGCTTATCTGGATTTCTGAAGGATTTACGAAAAGATGAACATCGCCCTTGGGTTTCTGCCCGTTTCTTTTCCAAGCCCGTCACATGGCACCTAGGCACCGGCTCTCCCAAAGGTGGCAATGGCACCAGAGATGTCACAGCTACAGGGTGAGGGAGTCGGAAGTTGGTTGGGCTGGGCTGAGCTTTGAAATGCCGTGAAGCATCCAGTTAGCATTTGGAAGCTAACTGGGATGTGGCTTGCATAGTTTTACATAACGAAATATAACGAGAAAAAAAATGAAGCTTCAAATTTCGGATCCACTCCAAAAACAGCTGAAGGAATGTAGCACGACTTCAAACGAACCCCGTAAAAAAGGTCATTGCTGCTGTTCTCAGGGTTTACCCTGAAGAATCGCCAAACGAGACATCTTAAAACGAGCTTTGATAGACTAGTTTGATCATCTGGTTGGTGGTTTCAAACATGAATTTTATTTTCCACAATATATGGGATAATCCTTCCCATTGACTAATATTGTTCAGAGGGGTTTAAACCACCAAGCAGGATCATATTTGACCATCCATTTACGACAGGTACATGTCCTGGATGCTGTTGGCGGTTTGCGTGGCGATGACCGCCTACTGGCCGTTGCGCGAGTTTAACATGGAGACGGGTGGGTTCTTCATGGACGATGTAGCCATAGCTTGCAGCAAGGGGAGGATTGGACTTACCATGATACGATATGGATCGATATGGCATATTTCAAACAAAATGATAGAAAATATATACTGTAGAAAAATGTGGAAAATATCTACCACAAAGCTGAGTCAACCTTCTTGTTTTGGCCGTTTCATGATTTGATTGCCTGCAAGACATGGTGATGTCTTACCACCCCGACGCAGAAGCACAACGAGCCCAGCCTTTTCCCGAGGCAATGATTCGGAGAAACACGGTGGTGGTGGACAGTGTTTCTTTCCAGCAGCCGAGGAGCTGGATTTGTGGGTACAGCCCGAGAGCTGGTTAAGAATCCGAAAGCTTGAGGTCCAGGGTCCCTCAAATTCTTAAGGCATTCTTAGTATTGTATTGCAGGCATCTGCACAATTTGGAGCAAGCTTAAACAAGGTAACGAGGTGGCTTTGGCAGTTGTCTGAGTTGGCATAAGGTTAACGAGTTTTTGCACTGTTTGTTAAAATTTTTGGGTAACACAAAGCTGTGGCCAAGCACCGCTGCTCTTCACAATTAATCTCCTTGTTCCACTAGACTATTGGCCCCCCTTCTAATGGGGCAGCGCCGGGCTCCAAATTGCTAATCGTAGCCCCCCGGGCGGGTGGAGAAGGAGGCGAGTTGAGGGTGCTGGTTGGCTGCTCCTGCTGCGGCTGTTGGTGCTGGGCTTCTCCTGGGGCGCTGCTGGGTGCTCTGCTGGCTGCTTGGCTCTCTGCTGGTTCCTGGGTTGCTGGTTGCTTTGGTGGGTGGGTTGCTGCTCGTGCGGGTATACACTCGAGCACCGGATGACGCATTGGATTAGTGAAAGAACCAGGATTAGGAGGGTTACGGATTATGTTTGTACCCGCCTAGTTTCGAAGTCTCCAGTACAAGGGGTCACGTATAAGCAGCAATTTAAGAATTTGGCAGTCCGATTCCAGGGTCCCTCAAATTCTTAACGTGCTATGTGTTTGGTATAGCTGAAAATATATAGCCCATCTTGGAACCGAGCCCCTCAAATTCTTATACAGTGAATTCTTGTACAATACTCAAGCTGTATTTGTTGCGTTTGTTGGTTCGGTTCATTTCCCTTTTGTTTGTGAAACACTTGCTGACCAAGGTGAATGAGGCTCTAATTTGGCAATCCATTTTTCAATATGAATAATATGAGGATAGCTTACAAACCTCATGAGGATTCGGCATTGTAAGCAGTGGAGAAACAGTTGCACATATGCTGCAGAAAGGATATGTTTGATCTCATGTATGTTTCGAAATTAGACTTTTTGGTGCAGTAGTAACATCCTTCATCAACATGTTAGGTTTTCTCATTCTTCACATCTCCATCCTCCCTCGGATCCCTCAGTCAGTGTGTTGCAGGTTTTTGATCTGCGGAAGTTTTGGCGGACGGACTATTGGGGCCTGGAGATGTTCGACCCAGACACTTGGACCCACAAGTCCTTCCGGCCCTTCACCGCACCTGGGACTCCCTGCCACTCCCTGGGACCCCGTGAAAGGATGGCAAGTGGAGTGACCGCTGGTGGTTGAGTAGTTGGGGGGTTTTACTACCCGTATACCATCCCTTACAGTACCCAATATAATGAATACTGTATACTATACTATAGATATACTATAGATAGCGTGTGTGATATGACTATTCAGGGGATGTTCCCAATCCATGAGCTGGGAATGTCTCATGTTTCGCGCTGGATTCTTGTTGATCATCAAATTCTTACCCAGCTACCGGCTCTGTCGGAGTCATGTTCAAGGCTCAAGGTGCAAAAAGTGAAATTCAGAGTCTTCAGAGTATCACATATTTTTAACTGACGGCATACCGCGAAATTTCCTTCCGGCCCGTTCGGCCGGCCATAAAATAAGGTCTTGACTTTTCGATGGAACTATCTCTGGCATGGCTTCAACAGCAGTGGTTTCCATGTCACCAACGGCCTGCTCCACGGCCTTTGCTCCCTCCAGCTGGCCCTTTGGGTCCATCGAGTGCTGCGTCTCCCGGCGCCTTGGGCCGGGCTGGTGGCCGCACTCTTTGCAGTGCACCCGGTGCATAGCGAGAGCATTTGCTACGTGGTTTGGCGAAACGAGGATGCTATCGATTTTGATCCGGGTTTGGGGGATGTCCAAAAAATAACCCAAAAAAACATCAAGATAGAAATAAATCACCCACATTCAACAACAATGTAATTATTATTAATGGAGGGTTATTTTTTGGTGGATTGTTTTGTTTTTATTTTTGTTGTTTTCCAGCCTGGCTTTTGTGGCTTCCGTGGCTTTTGTGTGTGTGTGGCTTTTGTGGCTTTACCATGCTTTACCCATCTATCTATCTGTCTATCTAATCTATCTATCTAATCTAATCTAGTCTAATCTAATCTAATCTAGTCTAGTCTAGTCTAGTCTAATCTATCTAATCTATCTTATCAATCGATCCATCCATCCATCCATCCATCCATCCACCCATCTATCAATCTATCTATCTCTATGTACACACCTTGTATCCCTACATGTACCTTAATCCAACCCTCAACAGATTTTAAATAGAGCCTAAACCAACACTAAATAGCCCTAAATAACACCAAATAAACCCTAAACCAAACCTAAATAGACCTTAAATAAACCTTGAACCAACCCTAAAGAAACCTTAAACCAAGCCGAGACAACCAACCCTAAATAGACCCTAAACCAACTTTAAGTAAACCCTAAACCAACCCTAAATAAACCTTAAACCAACCCTAAATTACCCTAAACAAACCCTAAACCAAGCCTAAATAAACCCTAAACCAACCCTAAACCAATCCTAAATGGTCTAAATGACCCTAAACCAACCCTAAATAAACCCTAAACCAACCAACACCATGATAGCATCCAATCCACTATTTAGACCCAACACGGTTGTGCTTCAACAATCGATGAACAGTGCAAATGGCAAATCTTTGCTCCAACATTCAGCAAAGTAGCAAATAGCAAGGAAAAGTGCCCCAGACTGAAAAACAAAAAAAATCTGCACCCATTATCAATTGCTGGTGTTTTTTCCTCATGAACATAAAAGCAATCATTGGTTTTTTCATGGCAGTTTGGCTCCTCAAAATGTCGAGTGGGCAAGAAACGAGCTTCACCGTTGGACGTGTTGGAACACCTGGATCATGTAGAGGTCCCACATATTTTGTGCAGAGGGTTACGCCCGTTGCTTGCATGGGCATGTGAACATAACCATGTGTGTGTGTGTTCGTTTGTACTAAAGTTACTAAAGGTATGACATATGTTTAGCAATCCATGAGCACTTGGTCAGTGAACATATCAAACCCTATGATATTTGGAATAGCTGCGGTGCTCTACAGTACCGGCACTGCCGTAAACTTCCAATACTTCCAATATGCCAAGGAAAAGAATTTGGGTTTTGTGCCAAATTGTAGGATCCTTGAAGGTCTTGGTGATCCCACTGCAGGTGGTTGGAAGAGCAGATATTCTTTGCGCACAGGCTGCGTTGGGAAAGGACATTGGGGCAGACCCTCTTTTGTTTTGAAACGACTGTTCGGTTTATCAAAACGAGGAGTTACCAGTTTTTTGAAGAGTCATGCGTCATGATGTCCCATCGTTTTCACCCAGGACTTGTCATGATGACGTTCAAAAGTTACAGGATGAAGGTTTTCGACTTGTCAGTATTATGCACTAATTGATCAACAAGATATACTATTTCTGAGTTTATACATTGGAAATTGATAAGTTGATTGGTCCCAATTGGTTTCCAAATTTAACATATATACTCAATTCATCTCAATTCCCCACACCATTTCTGAAGTTTACACCCAAACATACCAAAACCTAAGTTCATCATAGTTACAGTTGATCATCGTTGATCCCAAAGTTTTGCCATTGAACTTCTCCACATTTTCGGTGCCAGGTACTCCTAGTGGCCTTGCACTTCTACAGCTCGGTGCTCGTTAGGCCCACGTCCTCCGTGGCCGGAATCGTTGCGGTGCTGCTGAGCTGTGCCCTGATCGTCCCATGGCGTGACGCTGGAAATCCACAGCTGGGGAATCTGTTTGATGTGTTGATATGTGTTGTTTATGGGATTATACCATCATATTAACCATTATATTGTCTATTAACCATCATATTAACCATTAATAGACAATATAATGGTTGTTTATGTGTTGTTTATGGGGTTATAAATTAGCCTCAGCCATTCTGAATCCGCAGGGTGGGATCATCATACCACCATTTTTAATGGGTACCCTCTGGTAAATTAACTTGTTGACCCTGAAAATCACCCATTGAAAAAATGGAAACTAGTCTTCCAAGCCCGATGACTGCCAGGGTCTATGTTAATTTACCAGAGAGTAGTAGTTAAGCAACTTAGCGAACCATTTTTGGCACCACCTTGTAGACTTGTTGTTTCTGGGAATGTCGTGTTTTATATTAGTCTTACATTTTTTCTGGGCCATCAAATGAAAGATGATGGGTTGCTGCCGGAATCTGAAAACTTACGGTGAACAATGGGAAACTGTGAGTTTGGGTAGTTTGGGAATGGAATTTTCTAGGAGAATCCATAAATGGGAGAGTTTACAATCATTCATTACAATTTGAACGCCATCGAAACTTGGGATTTGATTGATTGATGTGGTAAACCCTGGCTGCCATAAACAACTCTCAGTTAGGGGTTGTAATACCCCCCCATTTATGGTCATAATTCAGATGGTTTATGGCATTGGGGTTGTTACTGTGTTTTGACCATTAAAACTGGGGCACATCAACGAAAAATCTAGGTGTATTCATTGGTGGTTTCTCAACCATTCATGGCGGTCATAGGTGGATGATATAACCACAAAAAATGGTTACAAGGGGAAGCAGCAGAATGTAGTGAACTAAGTATCGAGAGTCTGGACAGCATGGGTCAACCCAAGTTTGCAAGCAAAAAATTGGGTGAACCATGGTGAACCAAGAGATTGGGCTACTGAGTCTGCTGATCATTCCAAAAATGAACCATCAGCCGAAGGCCTACCTCATGAAATCTTGATCCATACCATACCCCATATGGGATGGGTGAGAACCTATATGATGTATTTAGAATGTGAATCCGTGGGTGAGCACACATGTACTAGCTATTTATTACAGCTTCTTTTCCACTTTGTCTAGCAGCTTTTATTCAGCACTATCCAGCAGTTTCACCACGACTCCAGATATCATCACCATAGATTCGTGCTGGTTATCGCTGGTTGAGTCACTAATATTTAACAAAGGTGTGACCTCCTTTTTCAAAAACCAATGGATTGATAAATGGTATCTAAGTTCCCTTCCATTTTTCAAGGACATCATTGATTACCCCTGTGTGATTGTTGGTTGTTGGGAAGATCATCACCCATCCCCATCGGGCTCCTTTGCGGGGTGCCATCGAAACCACGGGAAGCGAAAGGAGTTTCTTTTGTGCGGGCGTTGCGGGGCCCTTTTTGTTGGACATGTCCCCATCGAGGTACCAAAAAGACCTCGATCGAACTGATCGAACCCGAAAATCCGCGTGAAATGTATCGGATCGGGTTTCGATCAGCGGTCCGTGAAGATGATGACCGAATCCCATCTGAGGGATTCACAAGGCCCCCATGTGGTTGATGTTAGGTTTCACATCATGAGCCCCCACATTGCATAGCAGGCGTTCCTTTAAATGGGATGGCCCAAGAGGGTCCACAGCCCAAGGTGGTCGCAGGTCTCTGTAAAGAGACAGGCTTCACCTTCTTCGGATTGCCGCTTGGGGCATATCACCTGCATGGGGGGTGTGAAAACCCTTTTTACTTTCCTTAGATGTTGAGTTGACCACCTGGTAATGATAGTGGTCGATGATGTCATGTGTCACTGGACCTGTTGATGTCCTGTTTCAAAGCTGTTTTCGTCTTGCGATCGAAATCACCGGATGATGATCCTTCCACCCCCGCCCAGGTTGGTGATTTGGGAGGTGCTTCACCTAACTCGCTCCGCATGCAGAAACTGTGTGTCCTTCCTGCGAATTGCCCTGCTGCTTCTGTTGGGTGCCAGCGCCTGTGCTTGCAGGGTTTGGTACACGTCTGGCACGCAGATTGCTCGCATGGACCCCTACAGCAACCCCATTGCGGGCGTGGAAGATCCATTGGTTCGGGCGATGTCCTATGCCTTGGTGCATGGAATGCGCCTCGCCGTTGAACCCACGGATTTCACTGCCCCCGAGTTTGAAATCACACCTGTACTACTGCTGCAACAATCTGTAACACATGTTTTCTTTAGCTCGTGGTTATTTGTGGTTTAATTTAAGGTCTCTGGATGACCCAAAGAACAGAACTGTCTTTGTTGTGCTACTGGGTCCCGAGAAAAGTTACATGCCTATCATGCCATCGTGCCGTAAACCAATGTTGATATTGGCCGACTTGATGGGAGCGATGCACACTTGCTGGAAGAAACCAGGTACATCAAACTCTTGTTGTGGCCCCTCTTCCTTTGCTACGACTACTCCATGGATGCCGTTCCCTTGGTGGAATCGTTGACGGATGCGAGGCCGGGCACAACTCATGCAATGGGTTGGATGTTTTCAACTGTGGCCATGGATGAAAGACTGCACACCCTGGTGAACATCCTGTTTATATAATTTTATAATATTATATATATATACACAATTTATGTTATATATATTATATATATATAAATTATATATATGTGTGTGTGTCTGTGTGTGTATTGATTTTATTGGGAATCAGTTGCTCATCCTAAAAGTGGCCCCCGGTGTAGCCAGACCCCATTTGTTTTCCCTCCCCGGCAAGATGAAGCCAGGCTTCTGTTGCCGCTTTCTGCCTACTTGGCCGTCGTCCTTGCCTCCTGCAACTCAGTGAAGCTTAGCCACTGGCTGTGGGGCTTTTGCACTCAAATGTGCACACGCATCTCATGACTTACACTATACTAGTGACTAATATGTGGTTTTGTTTGAAAAATACGTTACCCAAAAGAATGATGTCTAACTGTCTAAACATCATTTTCCCATATTTTCCCTACTAAATCGATTTTTTTTGTGTTCCCATTTTCAGACACCGCCATCTCCACCACAACCAGGCCATGCACTCCAGCGCTTGCGGAGTGCCAAGGGCAGTGCTGCCACTGGAAGAGCAGAGGGTGCCATTTTGGGCCTGGCCATGTTCCTACTGAGTTTCGTGGAAATCCTGGCTGATCAATGTTGATCAATGTTGATCCAGGTTTGGGGCAGGGATGTTTTGGGGTTTGGGCTGTGAAAAGTTTTTCAATACAGTACTAAAGGATACTAAATAGTTTCTTGGTGTTTACTGCATCGAGATTCCCGGGGAGAGATCATATTGAGACGATCATGTGGCGCAGGGTTTCCAGCGCTCAGGTTTTCTACCCATGACCAACATCCTCTTCCCCATTGGGCGACTTGGCGCTGCAAAACCCCAAAAAAAAACGGCGGGAGCCCATGCCTCCATGACAGCACGCATAGATTACCGGTCACATTTATTGTGACTCAAAATATTCTGATAGATCATTCTAGGTCCTGAATTCTCAAATGGACATAGATTCATGTGCAGATACAGGTGTAGATACCATTAATTACCATTCGTTTTCGGATGTGTATAGATTTGTTTGGTTCCATCTCCCCCGCAAAAAAAAAAATCAGCAACATCCTGCCAGAACCTTGGTGGCTGAACGCTTGCTCTACATCCCATCGCTGGGTTTCCTACTCCTCCTGGTCTGCTTCCTCCGCGACGCTGGAGGAAGCGCTATATGCGGCACGACCTTCCGCGCCGCGGCCACTGGGCACCCTACAAGTTACCCTGTACCATATAAAGATACATAGATGAGGCAAATATACATATATATATATATACATATCTATACAGTATAATAATAATAATATATACATACATGAGGCAAATAGACAAGTAAATACTACCTGGGTACTGTAGATAGATAAAATATGATAAAATGTATCAAAATTGTCAGAAAACAACATCATACGGTATGTCTATTGCGTTCTCCGGGCGCAGCAAGGTGATATGGACGGCTGCTCTGGGTTTGGTGGGCTTTTGGTGGTGGCTATGCTACTCCAGGGTCGCTGACTGGAAAACGGTGGAGCAGATCACGCTGGTGGATGGATTGAAGCAATTGAGGTCCTCGAGGACACAGTTTAACCTGGCCAATCTCTATTTGCAGTCCCAAAGATCCTGAAGTTGCAGTGAGCGGGTTCCGGTCATGTTACTTATTTCATGTTATTTCGGTATGTTAATAAAATATACCCAAGTTTGAAGCGCGTGGGGTTTGTGTCTCCAATAGGATACTTCCCAAGTCTGCTTCCTTGATTGTGTTCTTTTAAGTGGGAAAAAATGAAAAAATAACCGTGATATCCATTGATGGTTTGATGATTCTTAAATCGCAATTTATTGATGGTTTATAATTACATTACTCAATCCCGATTTATACTGTAAGCTGTTAATTGATGTAAACCACAATTTTTATTGTTGCTGGATTTCTGGTGATGAAGACGGTTCAACCACATCAAATCTCTATGTGTCATGCTTAAAACCACCGTGGCTTATTGATTCGTAAATTCATCCTTGATGTACTTCACTATCAACTCCACATTTCTTCATGGTGAAATATATACTCTATATATATATATACAATATATACATGTGTGTATGTATGTGATGGAAATTCCCATTTCAGCCATGTTTTCATATATTTTTCCCTGGGATTTCGGGTCCAAAAACCCGGGAGATCAGGAATGGATGAAGCTTTGCTGGCCTATCGCCGCGCCATCGCGGCTGATCCCTTGGAACGGGATGCCCAGCCGCTGTACCACGCGGGGCAGATCCTGATGTATCAAGGGCAATACGAAGAAGCCCAGGCACAACGGCAGCGTGGGAACTTTTCGGGAAGTCAGTGTGATGTGAAATGCTGGGGATGGTTTGGTTTTGGCTGGCTGGAGTTTTTTCCGGAACAAAATGGTGAAACATGGATATGTGATTATATATATATATATATGCACGATGATGATGATGTACCATGTTTCATTGGGATGTTCATTGTACTTCATTGCATGTAACCCTATCAAGCTGCTGGGCTGGTGTGATGCCAGGGGAAAGGGACTGGTTGGCCTCGTGTGGGAGCATTTTGCTGGCTAACCACAGCTAAACCAACAGGTGTTTAAAGATGAAATCATGGACCAAAAATCAGTGGAGAAATTGGAACAGAATTTGGGAGAGCGGGGTGTACAATTCAGGGTCCACTTGCCAGGTGTGTTTTCTTTTCAGCACAGTTGTGCCAGTTGTTCCAGTTCTCCAGCTGGTCAGGTGTATTTGCACAAAGCCGTCACGGGGTACTTCAGCCCATTGACCTTGTTCGTTGGCTGAAAGACACGACCTGTCCGGATGGGGTGGGAGGTGATAAAACCGAGAGGTGGAGTAGCTGGCGGCGTTGGTGCAAGGGAGGCGTTGAATATGTATGTATGTTATGTAATGTAATGTTATGTACTGTAATGTTATGTTATGTAATGTAAGTATGTATGTATGTAATGTAATGTAATGAGATGGAATGGAATGTAATGTAATGTAATGTGTGTAGGTATGTATGTAGGTATGTATGTAGGTAGGTACGTACGTACCTTCCTACCTTCCTACCTTCCTACCTTCCTACCTTCCTACCTTCCTACCTTCCTACCTTCATACCTTCCTACCTTCATACCTTCATACCTTCATACCTACATACCTACATACCTACATACCTGCATACCTACATACATACCTACATACCTACCTACCTACATACCTGCATACCTACATACATACCTACATACCTACCTACATACCTACCTACATACATACCTACCTACCTACATACATACATATATATATATATACATACACATGCACGTACATATGCTGAATACATATCATGTAATATACATACCTATTTGGAGGGAATGTATGGAAAAATCGCCATGGGTTTTGCCACGGGTACATCAGAGGAGCATTGTCCCGGCACTGTGCCGGTCATCATTTCTCCATCGCTCCAAACCCAACCCGGCTCAAGCCCTGTTTTTGTGCGGTTTGTCACTGATTCACTGTAGGTTATAAATCACGGTGCTTAGCATTAAAAGATGTCTGACTTCCTGAGATCAATTATCAAGCTGAGAAGCTCACCCGTCGTGTCGTAATTAAGTGGCTATGAACCTCGAGACCCATCAGACCCCTTGCGGGCTGCGTTCGAGGCAGGAGGAGGAGGTGTGGCACGACTATGGTTTAGTACTGTGGCATGTGGGACGGCACATGGAAGCAGCGCACAACTTTCAGAATGCCATCATCACCAACCCGAACTTCCCCAAAGGACGGATCAAGTGTTACCCTACAGGTGATATGCCATTTGGGAACATTTGGAACTTGGTATGTCTTGGGTATTTTCGCAAGAAAGCTTCAAACTCGTGCCAACAGAATCATCGACATTCATCCATGCATTTCATGGGGCCACACGTGATCTGCAGTATCCACCAAAAAAATCAAAGGCATGTCCCGAACTGAGAAAAACTGGTCCTTGGGATTTGGCATTTGGCACATTCCCAGGAAATCCTCCAAAACTCCTTCCCTCCCTATGATTTGGACATGTGGTCAAGCATGTTCCAGCCGTGTGCCATCCCCAAGTTCCAGGACACAACAATTTGGCGTGTGCACTGGTGATGTTGGGACTCTCCAACCAACCCGTGAATACTCAGCTGGTCCAGCAGGGCTTGCAAGCTGCCGAACAGGCCATTACCCTGGCTCCGCATGTGCCCTTGTACTGGCGCAATGCTGCAGTGCTGTTGAGCTTGGCAGGCGAGCAATCTGTAGCTTGACAGGTGGAGGCGGTGACTTGATTGGTTGGGCCAGCTATTTGGGGAAAATATGTGGAAAAAATTGCTATGGGGCTGCTTATTATTGGGTCTATAAGACTATATGGATCTATATTTTATATGGTCTTCTGTACAAACCCAGGCCTTGGCTGCTTGGGAACGCTTCCGGCAGTATGACCCCAAGACGGCGGCCGTGGAAGAGGTGGCCTGGCCCGAAAATGCCGGGGGGATATCAACAATGGGCTGGAAAAGATCTATCATCAACAGATATCAGATATCAACAGTTCTTTTCTAATCTCTACTATGTATGGAGATAACATGTGTATGTGTGTGAGTGTGTGTGTGTGCCAGAAAATGTGAGAATGGTTACGTTTGCGAACCTGAGGGATCATCCTATAGTGGCTCGTGCAGCTACAACTTCCGAGGGCAGACGGAAGGTAAGCATGGACGCCCCCAATCATTAGATGGGGAAATGGTGTTTTCCATGGCCAGGTCAAATTGCTACAGAGTGAAGTTCCAAACCCCCTGTTGGTAAAATCCCTCCATTTTTTCGTGGCCACACTGTTGGCTCCCCGTCCCATCCGTCATGACAGCCTTTGGAGCACAGGTCAATGGAATCCCCCGTGATTGCACCTGGGAGTTCTACTTCCGCTGAGCCCAAAAAATGGAGGGCGGCGAGGGATGGGATGTGACGAGGGCGGATTGCCCCATGGTCTGACGGATGTCCCATTCGTGTTGGGTTGCAGAGATCATCCGGGGATTTCCGGATTCTCCCCCGAAAAACGTTGCAGGTTCTGGGAGGGCCATTGGGCGCCATCATTGGAACCTTGGCACAGTTGGTTCTGGTGATCCCCTCTATTTTTGCCATAGAACTGGAACAAATTCACTTCTGATGGGTGGCTTTACAGCATGTCTATTTCTCATCCTACTTGAGATTTTGATCACGATTCATTAGATAATCAATATCGTTCTGCGGGAATAAAACCACCAGAATTCTATAGCTTAGCGGCTTAGCTTTCAGGAAAGAATCTTGCTGTTGGAGATGGTCTTTCAGGGGTTCCATGCAGAATTGCAAGGATGGTCTTATATGTGGCCGCTTATCAGTCTTGATCCACTTCACTTCAACTGCCAAGTGTTGCAATTAGTTGGCCAATGGGCCGCACAGAATGTATCAGAGCTAGGAAATGCGACAACCCTCAACATGCCATGTACTCGTACCGTACGAGTGGAAACCATGTGCAATATCCATTCTTCGGGGTGTTCATCTTAGTTTTTGTAGGGTGTACTGTACATACATTTTGCTCCTGTAAGTTCAGGTGGCTACAATGAAGAGGATTGGCTCTACCAGGACAGCAGCCGCAGTGATTGCTATGGAAAATTGTCCCTTTAGTTCAATGATTTACGTATAAACAATGCGATGTTCCACAGGAGGCTGTTAAATGAGCAGAAGATATGTTAGTTGAGATGATGGTCATGTAGTGATCGTTTTCTTTGGCAAAAATCTCTGCATGGAACGTTTAGAATGAGCTTGAGTCCTCTAGGAGCCATTGAAATCAATCGGAGCACTGGTTGAAGGGAACATTGACAGAACGCCCCTTGATTATCTTGATGTAAGGGTAAAAAACATGTAAAAACTACTCAAAACTGAGAGTGAGTTTTCATGCACATGTTCACCATGTTCCCTGAAATCCAGTGTGATTTTGCCAGCCTGTTGAGGAGATCTTTTCGAAAGATCCCGGTCAAGCCTTAGAGGAAAGGGAGAACGACTAACGGGCAGACTGTTTCAGTGCGACGTTCACTCACGCCTAGATTCAATGAAGAAGTGAGATCACTCCTTCCCCTCAATTGAAGCTACATCTTGGCAATGATGGCCAGGGTGTAGCAGACCCATACCCAGATCCTGAAGATGTTCTTCTTTCAATAAACCTCAAGTTTTTGCACAAAAAAAATCCCCAGCTTAGATACAGTTCTGTTATGTGATGTTTCTATAGTCCCATCATGTGTTTAATCCCCCAAATCCATGCAGCTCCGAAAAATACATCGCCAGCCTGCCAGGAGGCATTTCAACTCCTCGGCTTTCCATCCGACATTGGCGACTGGTCTGGCTACATGGTGGAGGACACCAGCTGAGCTCGTGGGGGGTACTGTACATCAATCTACTGGGGTCAAAGTTGCTGCTAAATCTGGTGATTAAAATTGATTTAAGTCATTTAAGTCATTTTGAGCCTGATGAATCACGAGATTTGACGCGGTTTTCTTCCAAAGACAAACAACATAAACAACCAAATGTAGTGTGGCCTTTCAAGATCCTAACCCCTGAGATTCTTTTTGGGAACGCCTGGTCAGGAAATCTCCTTGGCTTATCGTCGCCAGTGTTTGCGCGGGCATCCCAGTCGCGGAGGCTCCGCACGGAACTATTTGAAGCTGCAGGCGGTGCAGGGGGGTTGATGATTGATGCCTTGGGATGCGAGTGATGCCTGGCCAAAGCATCACCACAACAGTAGCTTCAATCTCTTAGAACCTCGGTTCTGTTCTCAGGTTGGTGGTTTTTTTTTGGCTTGAATCAGGGCTTCAATCATCTTCAATCCCTATTTTGGGGGTACTCAAAGGTCAAGTGTGGGGTACTTGGGGTGCCGGGCGCCCGGCGTCATTCAAAGTTCTTCTTGGTCAACATGCTGACGTTCTGCAATCGGTGAGACCTAGATACCAAACAAGATGAAAAACATTGAAAAACTAAATGGGATGGTTTACACTCAAACATGACCAGTCGCAAGCGGATTCTTGCGGTCAAATCATTTTGTCTCCGCCATTTTTCCCATTTGTTTCCACAATTTTCCCATGATTTCTTTCCATTTGTTCACGGTGTTCCATGTTTTTTCCCCCATTTTTCCATCATTTCCCTCTGGGTTTCCCCACCTTTTCCCTGGCTTCGCGGCCAGGTGGCCATGGAACTCATCCGCGCCTTCGACCAGGAGCAATGCGTGGAGGCCGACGCCTCGCCGGAGCCGGAGGCGGGGGCAGCGATGTGGAAAATGACAGTAATTCATAGAGCATATATTAGTTATGCTACCCTCTGGTGAACTAACATAGCTATTGAAAATTGCCATTTATAGTGAGTTTTCCCATTAAAAATGGTGCTTTTCCATAGCTATGTTAAATTACCAGAGGGTATGTTAGCATATATTAGTTATATATTAGAGTAATTCATAGATATATGAACTACTATGTAAAAAAATAATTCTATGTTATTATTATTTGCTATGTGAATAGTAAATTAGTGATATAGTATGATAGAGTGAATGACCCACTGGTTGGTCGTTTGGAACATTGCTTTTATTTTTCCATCATATTTGGGAATGTCATCATCCCAACTGACTTTCATATTTTTCAGAGGGGTTGAAACCACCAACCAGATATAAATTAGTGATTGTATATGTTAGTACTATTAGCTATATTAATTGATATTGTCATAATTTGTCATATATATATATGTGTGTGTGTGTGTATTTATTGATGTATTTAGTTGTTTGTTGATGTTTATTTATATTTATGTTAGTTTGGCCATGGAATAATTTTCCATAGCTTCTGAGAGTGAAACATAGCTATGGAATGCTATGGAAAATGATCCATGTGTGGAATTCCTAAAATGGGGGTGCCCAAAAATCATCCCAAATTGGTTATTATCAATGGGAAAACCAATGGGTTTGGGGTACCCATATTTTAGGAAACCTCCATCGACCGTTTCTAAACATGGTCTTTTTCCATAGCTATGTCACAGAAACAGAGGGTATCAGATGGAAATATGAAGGTTTTACATGATTTATACATGGTTTTTACATGCTTTACATGGAGGAAACTTTGGAAAAGTGCGCCATATCTATCCAACATGAATAAAACTGCTGTTCAATTGTTTAAAAAGGACGGTTTTAAAGTTGTGAACCAGAGATATGGAGTTAAAGCCCAGCTATTTTATAGAAAAGGAGTTCGTTTTCTGTTTGATTATTGCAGAAATTGATAATCCAATGAACTTGGATATATTTGTCCTGTATGTGGATCTTACATGACTATCATGACTGCAAATCGGGACCTATACCCAATGAAACTGGCTGGTGGCTTCAGGTAATTGTCTTGCATTTTCCATCCATACATAGATGTACTTCGGACGATTATAGTCCCAGATTAACATTATTGTCATTATTGTTGTCATTATTGTTTATTTATAGTATATATTTTAACACACACACATACATATATATATATATACACAATATACATAATATACATGCGTGTGTGTGTGTGCACATGCTTTGATATATATATATATATGTGTGTGTGTGTGTTCAGGGGTGTTCAAGCGGGGGCTTGCAATCCTCAAAATAATAGTTGGTGGCTTCGTTGGGCTTACTACGTTGGGTAGATTTGGTGGGTGTTTTCTACAAGAACTTACCAGCGCTTTGCGTTTGTTGGGTGTTTTATTGTTTTTTGTTGTTGATGTATTGGCATGATCAGGCCAGTTATACTTTATCATCAACGGCCACAAGGGTCCAAAAGTGGTAAGCGAAGTTGTGAACCAGAGTTTAAGATGTGAGGGTCTTGTAAACTTTAAACAAATTGGGGGTTGGTTTGTCACGGGAACATGGTTGTTGCTTTCTGGGCGGTGATGATGCTTTTGAAGGACGAACTTCTCTGGATATTCTCTCTGCAAGACACACTGGAGGATTAGCTCCCAGGGGATCGATGATTCCAATTCCATGGTTGGTTTCAAGGAGGGTACAGGGGGAAGGATTTCGTGGACGGCTTGTTTTCGTGAAACAGAAATGCAGCCAAGAATCATTTATGCTCGTCACTATATACTTGTAAATCACAGATCCTTCTCGGCCAAATAGCACCAAGGAGCCATTGGGAGTCGTTTAGTCGTTCTTTTAACTGCTTGGAGGTGTAGTTTGGTTTATAATTGGGCAGAAGCGTGGTGGTGATGACCTTCATAGTTGGGATACAACCATATGCAACCACTATAACTATGATGAGATTGTCCCAAATTTATCCACTTCTAACTGGAACTGCACCCCCAAGTTTACCGATGCTCACTGGGAATTTTGGCCGAGGCCGCTTGGTCGCCCACGACGCGGCGCAAGCGCAAAGTCCATGGCTCTTTGGCTCACAGGGGGGACCCCTACGGAGCCAAGAAGAGCGACGCTTACCCTCAGAATTCTTGTTTGGATCCTAGAAGTGACGTGAAACTGGCGTTTCAGCAACAATTTTTTTACCAGGGGGTATCCCAAACCATGGAAAGTGTGATACGGATTCCATCGGATTCCTCAGAACCATGGGAAACTACAGCGAGATTCCACGACAGGCTTCGTCTTGGACGACTTGGCTCTGGTGAGAGAGCTGGAACTGTCGCAAACAGAGGCAGCCATGGAGGTGCCAGGAGTTGGTGTAATGGGAAAACTCGAGGTTGGGAACGGTTAGGATATACCATCCATTGCCTCTAATATGAAACACCCCCAGAAAGCATGATCTAGTAGCAGGTTTGGATACATTTGATCATATTTGGGACCCTTTAGAGGGGCGTTTAATCTTACATTTCAAAAATGTATCCAAAATATCCAAATCCCCCTAAGAACATCCCTAGGATATTAGTGGATCATCTGGGTTTGGCATTGTAGCAATTTGCCCAGAAGAATTGCGACCGTTTCGAGACTTCGTTTCATGATACTGGTCCCAATATAATCCACTGATATGGTAAATGTATGGTGTGTCCTGACAAGTTGTGCACCACCACACGGGTGGATATTGATACTATTAATACCTTCAAAACCTATCAACTGTCTAGCCACTCATGAGCTTGCAATTTGTTACTGTAAGTTTTTATATATGTTTATACAACGAAAAATCTCGGAGACGCCAATCTCAGCTATCATGCTTCTACACCCATGGGAAGCCGTTTTGGAACAACCTAGAAACTTTGGGTTGCCAGGCTGACACTTTGCCAGCTGAGCGACTGGAAGAGTTGAACCGGGCCTTGGACGAATACATCTTGAGAGCCTTGGACACGGGGATGTGACGTTGAGAGCATGTCTGAAGCTGCAAGAATCGCAAGAAGTAGCTTTACAACATTTATTATATACTTTTATAAACATTATATATATACTGTATATATATATATGTGTGTGTGTGCGTGTGTTATATTATATTGTATTATATATATATGTCACAATATCAAGAGCCTATCTTATCTGACATCAACAAGCATGGCACACTTAGATGCCTTTTACATAGTTTTGCCACCCAATTTGGGTGATAAAATGCCATATATTCTGATTAATTTGCATAGGATAATCCACAGTTAACCCACCTGTAACCCATGAGTCATTGGGATGTTCTCAGATACTGATCATACAATATCATATAACATTATATAATATCATATAATATCATATAACATCATATAAAATCATATTAATATCATATTAAATTGTAATATCACATAAATAATTTCATATAAACTAATATCATATAATATAATATCACATAATATCCTGTAATATCATGTAATATCATGTAATATCACATAGTATCACATAATATCATCTAATATCATATAATATCACATTAATATTAGATAATATCACACAATATCAAATAATTTCATATAATATCATTTAATATCATATAATATCATATAATATCATATAATATCATATAATATCATATAATATCATATAATATCATATAATATCTTATAATATCATTTAATATCATATAATATCATGTAATATCATATAATATCATATAATATCATATATTACTAAATAACATTGATATTAGATAATATCATATTGATATCATCTTAATATCACATTAATAACACATAATATCACATCATAGCATGTAATATCAAATGATATTGTATAACATCATATCATATCATTTAAGATCACATATATCATGTCATTTAATATCATATAATATCATATAATATCTTATAATATCATTTAATATCATATAATATCATGTAATATCATATAATATCATATAATATCATATATTACTAAATAACATTGATATTAGATAATATCATATTGATATCATCTTAATATCACATTAATAACACATAATATCACATCATAGCATGTAATATCAAATGATATTGTATAACATCATATCATATCATTTAAGATCACATATATCATGTCATTTAATATCAGATAATATCATATGATATTAATCTCATATAATATAATATCACATAACATCTTATAATGTCATGTAATATCATATAATATCATTTGATGTCATATCATATCATTATAATATCATACAAGATCATCTAGTATCAGATTGATACTATATAATATCATATTAATATCATATTAATATCATAAAAATATCAAACATAGTCATACAGGATGGGCCCCCCAGTTATTAAAGTGGGTTTATAAACCATTATAAGCCCTATGAACTATAGTTGTATCTACCATAAAGCCACTTATAAGGCAACTTAGCTATCTTGGGGGCCCCATCCTGTACCATAAGCCAGGTGCCACGGATCCAACCAAGGACAGATGTGTTTCAAGAGTGAGATCGTGGCCGAGATCGCTCGTCTCCACGAGAACTCGGCCTATTCCATTCTGGGGGTCTCGCCCGAAGCCTCCGACGCGGATGCTTGGTGTTCAGAAGCACGGACCATCGTAGTTGAATAAAACATACCCTCTGGTAAATAAAAATAGACCCTGAAATCTCACCAACTTTTTAATGGAAACTAATCTTCCAACCCCTATCGTTATTGGAATATATAGTTACTAGAATATATAGTTATTAACATACATATTTCGAATATATAGTTATTAAAATATAGACACAATAATATAGAATATATTTCTAGAACATATAGTTGAATAAAACATAATATATATCTATATAGAGAATGCCAATATTTAAAACCTGTTTAAACTGTTAATGTGTTTCCAATTCAAATTCCCAATTTACGGATTATCTACGGGTGTTTTTTTGCCATTCAATCTGCCATCAGGTGTTTACCATTGCCTTGTTTGAATTTTTACGCCTTTCCCAGGGAAAGGGACCATCCAGTTCATTCCATCAGGGTTCCTGGGAATGTTTACTGTTAAACGATCGGTCGGTACCGCGAATCAGGTATCAGTTGGCCCTGACCAAAAAAACGCTGGGATGCACGGAGAAATGCTCCGTCCCTAAGGAAATCAAAAAGGCATATCGGCTGGTGGCCATGCAATGTCATCCCGACAAAGGCCCAGCGTTCGAGAAAGATTTGCGACAACAGCACGATCCAAAGCTGTCCGTTGTTGGTGAAAATTACCTATGTTTGTTGGTTGTGAACCATGTTAAACAATTATTTTGTCGCCATTGTTTGATGGGTAAAACTCCGTCAAACCACTAGTTTTCAGAACAGTTTGTTCTGGTTGAATCCACACCCTTCCATTCCGTGTTTTTGCCATCGTTCAGGCGGCGATAAGGCCGAGTTTCAAGAGCTTCATGAAGCATATGACGATTGGCAAAGGGTGGGACAGAGCTGTTTGTTTGGTTTTTGCAAGGAAAAGTTGGATTGGAATAGGTTTATTTTATATATCCGTGAATTATAGATAGTAATGATCTATACAATGAAAAGTATGGAGACACAATTGACATAATTGATAACTTATAGTAAGGACAAGAGCATAGAAAAATATTGGAATAGACCGGGATAAAACTGATAAATGATGGTTGATGATTACTTTGGAGGTTGTTAATCTACCCTTGGTACGTTGGCGACAAACAGTGTAATGGAATGGCAGCCGGTTTTGCCAAAAACCGATGGATTTCACCAGAAAAAACTGGAGATTACACATAGACTGCCCAGAAGTCAAACTTCCAAGGAAAAAATCATGGAGCAGCGACGAAGCATCTTGGCTCATCTTCGCTTCATCAGTTGGGCATAGATCTACCCAAAAGCAGCCATCAGGTCGTACCGGAATTCTATGGGTCAAACACCTACCTGCTGTATGGTGTTATGTTTGGTGAATAATTCTGCAAAAAGAGGGGGAAAATAACAATATATACTAGTTGGTGATTTGGAACATGGTTTCCATCTATTGGGAATGCCATCATCCCAACTGACGAACTCATATTTTTCAGAGGGGTTGTTTTACCACCAACCAGATTATTATTAACCATCATTAACCATATAATGACCATATAATAACCACATGTTAACCGGCCATGGTCTTCTGCTGGGTTGGGCCCGTTGGGCCCGTTGAGCCCGTTGGGCCCGTCCGGCCCGTCAGGCGGGGCCCGTCGGGCCCGTTGGAGCCCGTCGAGCCCGTCGGGCCCGTGGGGCCCGTTGGGCCCGTTGGGCCCGACGTTGGGGCAGTGGGGCAGTCCTGCTGTATGAGGTTCTTGGAAGGGGATCTTGTAGGGATCCTGTCGGGATCCTCGAAGATTCCTGATTTTGTAGAAGTCCTTGCGAGGAGATCTTGTGGATATCCTAATGAAATCCTTTGTTGTAGAGGTGTTTGTGAGGAGATCTTGCGCACATCCTGCTGGAATCTTCTAAAGGATATTTGCGTGAAGATCTAGAAGGTGCTTGTATGAAAGTTTGCAAGGGAAGCCTTCAAGAGGTTCTTGCACAAAGATCTTCTCAGATCCCTCTAGCAGGTCCTTCTTTGACGACTGTGTGAAATTCTCAGTGAGGTCCTGGCTTGAGGTCCTGGAGTTTTTGTTCACAGATGTTTTCCTCAACGCTGTTAGGGCCTCTTTGCCGGGGATGATTGTCTCTATTTTTTTGTTTGAAAAGGTAGAGAGCCGGGCAGCGTTTGACAAGCCGGGTGGGCGGCCGCCGTTGTATTTGGGTCGGACATGTCAAGCAGATAGAAGCAGATATGCATATTTGGTTTTTTGGTTTTTGAAGGGGTGCCAATCAGATATGTTAGCAACCACATTCTTTATCCCTGCGCGATAGAAGGAAGAATCATCATGTAAGTTCCAAACTAAAACAATGATCAGTACATGCCACATTCTGTGGAGCAACTTTTCTGGCAGCAAATCTATATGGGACGATTCCGTGTCTGCCAGTTTGGATGTTGCCAAGCCGCCAAGCTATGTTTTTAAAAATTTCACCTTCCGACGGTTTGGTGTGGGTCAAAGAACATGCGCCGTTTGGCCCACGTGCACAGCACATCATGCTTCCCATGGGGAGCAGGACATCTAAAAATGTTTGACCCATACCATCCCATATTCATTTGAGCAGGGCTGGCAAGCTTTAGCTAATCCCTTTTTATGGCCGATTTTTAGAAATTGATGATGATAATCCCCGATATCTAGGGTAATATAGGAATACTGCTCACTTTCTGGTTCCGGCAGCGCTGACGCGGATATGTGAGATAAAGCCGTCACAAAGGGATGAAGCGAAGCACGATTTTTTTTGTGGCCGCTGTCTAGGAAAGAATCGTAGAATCGGCAAACGGCACCGCTTGACAAATCATACCCCGAGTGGATGCGAAGGATTTTATTTCACCGGTTGGTAGTCAACATCTGGTGCCGAACTAATCAACACCTGGTGGAATAATATCTGTAACCAAATGAAGAACAGAAAGCCATGGATTGCTGAAGCAGGAAAGCGACGAAAATTGGAAACATGATCCCAATGGCGTGCTGGGATCATACATTTTTCATCTACAACCAGATGTATTTAGGTAAAAGATATACATAAAGAACAATCACCCAATAAATAAATATTTATGTGTGTATACGCATTAGAAAGATACCAGATGCATACATTTATATATGTATATATGCATGTGTTGAAATACGGCTAATGCCTGGGTTTAGCCTGGCAGGGCAACGACGATGGGCAACGAAGCGTCATCATCATCATCATCATCATCATCATCCTCATCCTCATCCTCATCCTCATCATCATCACCATCATCATCATCATCATCCCTTCTTGATCTTTCCAGATCCCCGTTGGGCGTCCCTGGATAGGATTCGGGGGGTCTGGCCAAAAAAATATCCAGGGCCACAAGGCCCTATCAGTTATACCAATGGCGTTCCAACCTCACCACGGGAATTTTATCCAAAAACCCCTTTCAAAACATCGTATATTCACTTACCTGGCCTCTATGAATTTTATCCGCCAGCACTTGCTCCAAAGATTCTATATTCACTTACCTAGTCTCCATGAATTTTATCTACCAGCACTTGCCTCAAAGATTCTATATTCACTTACCTGGTGTCTATGAATTTTATCTACGGGCACTTGTCCAAAGATTCTATATTCACTTAAATACCCTAGCACTATGAATTTTATTCCCAAGAAATCTTTTCATTTCCCTGGGGGCCAAGGCCATGAAATCTACGAACATGAAAAACCGGGTTTGTGCTAGCAGGATTTTTTCCTGACCCTGTGCCCGAAAATATTATCCCTCTAGGACATTTATTCAGCCCCAACTTTGGCATTTTCAAAGTTCAGGGGGTTTGTCCCATGGAAAAATATTCAGCGACACTGGGGTTGCAACCAAAGAAAAGTGTGGAACTTCTCGGAGCAAAGTTTGTTGGAGACTGCAAAAGGATAAACAGGACTTTGGCCACTTGAACTTTATCCAGATATGTTTTGCGCCAGAACCATTGTAACCAATGTCCCAAGACACAGCACAAAACCTCAGACCCCAAGATTTTCATCTCACAGATCCCTGTTTTTAACTTTTCCGGACCAGCTCTCCATGTTACACCACGCATGTGAGTCAACCCATCCTGAACCAATGTCCCAAGACAGACCACAAAACCTCAGACCCCAAAATTTTCATCTCACACATCCCTGTTTTGAACTTTGCCGGAGCAGCTCTCCATATTATACCCCACATGTGTGGCAACCCATCCTGAACCAATGTCCCAAGACACACCACAAAACCTCAGACCCCAAGATTTTCATCTCACACATCCCTGTCTTGAACTTTGCCGGAGCAGATCTCCATATTATACCCCACATGTGTGGCAACCAATCCTGAACCAATGTCCCAAGACAGACCACAAAACCTCAGACCCCAAGATTTTCATCTCACACATCCCTGTTTTGAACTTTGCCGGAGCAGCTCTCCATATTATACCCCACATGTGTGGCAACCCATCCTGAACCAATGTCCCAAGACACACCACAAAACCTCAGACCCCAAGATTTTCATCTCACAGATCCCTGTTTTGAACTTTGCCGGAGCAGATCTCCATATTATACCCCACATGTGTGGCAACCCATCCTGAACCAATGTCCCAAGACAGACCACAAAACCTCAGACCCCAAGATTTTCATCTCACACATCCCTGTTTTGAACTTTGCCGGAGCAGATCTCCATATTATACCCCACATGTGTGGCAACCCATCCTGAACCAATGTCCCAAGACAGACCACAAAACCTCAGACCCCAAGATTTTCATCTAACACATCCCTGTTTTGAACTTTGCCGGAGCAGATCTCCATATTATACCCCACATGTGTGGCAACCCATCCTGAACCAATGTCCCAAGACACACCACAAAACTTCAGACCCCAAGATTTTCATCTCACACATCCCTGTTTTGAACTTTGCCGGAACAGATCTCCATATTATACCCCACATGTGTGGCAACCCATCCTGACCCAATGTCCCAAGACACACCACAAAACCTCAGACCCCAAGATTTTCATCTCACACATCCCTGTTTTGAACTTTGCCGGAGCAGATCTCCATATTATACCCCACATGTGTGCCAACCCATCTTGAACCAATGTCCCAAGACACACCACAAAACCTCAGACCCCAAGATTTTCATCTCACACATCCCTGTTTTGAACTTTGCCGGAGCAGATCTCGAATTTCCATATTATACCCCACATGTGTGCCAACCTTGAACCAATGTCCCAAGACACACCACAAAACCTCAGACCCCAAGATTTTCATCTCACACATCCCTGTTTTGAACTTAGCCAGAACAGATGTAGGGTTTGAGCTCCGAGGAGCTCCAAATTGATCCCGTGACTCTTCGTGGACATGATCGCTCGGGTGAAAAATGTGAAAAGGAAACAAGGGTCATGCGTACCTCAACGCATCGAATTTAACCCAAGGGTTCCTTCTTTTTTCATATGTTTGATTAGAACAACCTCAATGCCTCGATGTTTCCACTGGATCAGCATAACCTAATTTCTTGGAGTTTTATCTCAGGTCGTGTTGCAGAAGCCATTGTATCAAAGCGACCTAAGCGCACTGAATTGTAGTTAGGGAACATTCAGTTGGACCTGGATTTTTTTTCGGGCTTTACTCCCAAAAAATATCCCCTTGAAACCTCAGCGCGAAAATTTTACCATGCATTGTTTGGGGTTGGACCAAGAATTTCAGCTGGCTAAGATTCCTGTCCAGACCCTAGGGGGCACACCAGACGGGGATTTTCCAGTCGACAGCAAAAAAGCAAACGAGAGTGGTATTTTTCCCGAATGCGTAGCAAGGGTTCCCGTTTCACTCTGGGGGTCTGGGGGTTGAGAGTGTGTTCGCTCGACGTTGCGTCCGCGTCCGCAACCGTTCGCAACCGTCCGCAACCGTCCGCAACCGTTCGCAACCGTTCGCAACCGTTCGTACGAACTCCGTATGGCCGTGCCTATGGGAAGTTTTGCAGAGGTGGTCATTTTTGGAGGTTTCAGACGTGTCGTTGCTTCGTTTCGCGTGGCAGGCGTGGCACTTCGTGACATTCAGACGTGTTCTGCAACGTGTCGAAAGTCGTTTTGCGTGGCAGGCGCAATACTTTTGTGACGTTTTCAGAAGATGTGTTGCAGTTTTCGTGGCAGGCGCAGCACTTTGGACGTGTCCATCGTCATTTTTCGTGGCAGGCGCAGCACTTTAGACGTGTCGTGTTGCGTGTTTTTTGTAAATCGCATTGGCAGGGCTGCAAGTGGCGACAAGGTGCAAATTCCGTGGCAGGCGTGGCATTTTGTGTGATGTGCTGAAAATTGACGGAAGCCTTGGACGAAACATCGATTTTGATGTTGCCAATTTTCGGGTTCTAAGGAAAACTCGTAGGAAAACGTCGATTTTGAAGCTGCAAAGTGTCAAAATTGGAGGAAGTCTCGTACGAAATGCTCGTTTTGGTGCTCCCACGTGTCTCGTCTCGAGTCTCTGGTTTTCCCGTGGCCTCGCCGTGTCTATGGGGGAAGCTGCAAAACTTGTCTTTTTGTCATGTTGCCAACTGGCTGAAAATTGCCGGAAGTCTCGTACGAAATGATCGTTTTGGTGCTCCCACGTGTCTCGTCTCGAGTCTCTGGTTTTCCTGTGGGTTCGCCGTGTCTATGGGGGAAGCCGCAAAACCTGTCCTTTTCGAAGGTTTCCAAGGAAGCTGTCATGTCGTTTTGCGTGGCAGGCGTGGCACTTTGTGACATTCCAACTTGTTTGATAATGTGTCAAAAATGTCCAAATTGGAGGAAGTCTCGTACGAAATGCTGATTTTTCTGCATCCACGCGTCTTGTCTAGAGTCTCTGGTTTTCCTGTGGCGTCGCCGTGTCTATGGGGGAAGCTGCAAAACCTCTCTTTTTCCAAGGTTTCCAAGCAGGTTGTCATGTCGTTTTGCGTGGCAGGCGTGGCACTTTGTGACATTCCAAGCTGTTTGATAACGTGCCGAAAGTGTCTCTGGTTTTCTAGACACGTCGCCGTGTCTATGGGGAAAGCTGCAAAACATCTCCTTTTCGAAGGTTTCCAAGCAGGTTGTCATGTCGTTTTGCGTGGCAGGCATGGCACTTTTTGACATTCCAACTTTACACTCTACACTTTACACTCCACACTCCACGCTCTACACTTTACACTCCTCACTCCACACTTTACACTCCACTCTCCACACTCCACACTCCACACTCTACACTTTACACTCTACACTTTACACTCTACACTCTACACTCCAAACTTTACATTTCAAACTCCACACTTTACACTTTACACTCCTCACTCCACACTCTACACTTTACACTCCACACTTCACACTCTACACTCCACACTCTACACTTTACACTCCACACTCCACACTCTACACTTTACAGTCTACACTTTACACTCTACACTCCACACTCCACACTCTACACATTACACACTCTACACTCCCCACTCCACACTTTACACTCCACACCCTTTACTTTACACTTCACACTCCACACTCTACACTTTACATTTTTCACTCCACACTCCACAATTTACATTTTTACACTCCTCACTCCACACTTTGCACTCCACACTCCACACTCCTTACTCTACTCTCCACACTCCACACTCTACACTCCATACTTTACACTCCACACTTTACACTCCACACTCCACACTTTACACACTCTACACTCCCGACTCCACACTTTACACTGCACACTCCTTACTTTACACTCCACACCCCACACTCTACACTTTCCACTCCACACTCCACACTCCACACTCCACACTCTACACTTTCCACTCCACACTCCACACTCTACACTTTACACTCCTCACTCCACACTTACACTCCACTATCCACACTCTACACTTTACACTCTACACTTTACACTCTACACTTTACATTTTACACTCCACACTTTACACTTTACACTCCTCACTCCACACTCTATACTTTACACTCCACACTCCGCACTCTACACTTTACACTCCAGACTCCACACTTTACACTCCACACTTTACACTTTACATCCCTCACTCCTCTACACTCTACACTCTACACGCTACACACACCACACTCCTCACTCCACACTCCACACTTTACACTCCACACTTTACACTCCACACTCCACACTCTACAGTACACTTTACACTCTACACTCTACACTTCACACTCTACACTCCACACTCTACACTTTACAGTCTACACTTTACACTCCACACTCTACACTTTACACCCTCTACACTCCCTACTCCACACTTTACACTCCACACTCCTTACTTTACACCCCACACTCCACACTCCACACTCTACACTTTCCACTCCACACTCCACACTCTACATTTTACACTCCACACTCTACACTTTCCACTCCACACTCCACACTCTACATTTTACACTCCACACTTTACACTTTACACTCCTCACTCCACACTCTATACTTTACACTCCACACTCCACACTCCGCACTCTACACTTTACACTCTACACTTTACACTCCACACTTTACACTCTACACTCTACATTCCACACTTAACACTTTACACTGTACACTCCTCACTCCACACTTTACACTCCCCACTCCACACTCCTTACTCTACACTCCACACTCCACACTCTACACTCCACACTTTACACTCCACACTTTACACTCCACACTCCACACTTTCCACTCCACACTCCACACTCTACACTTTCCACTCCACACTGCAGACAGGTAACAAGGGAAATATGTACAAGACTGTTCAAATAAACTATTGCAGGAAAGTGTTCTGCGTGACTGCAAATCCATGTGTTTCGACATCTGTACCATTAACATACGTGTGAGCATTCGGGTTCGTGGGCTGCATCTTGTTTTTTTTATATTCCTAATACATGCGGTGATCTTCCCACTTGAATCTAAAAGTTCAAGCAGGGTGGGCAATTATGTTTCTAAGGGAGCTTATATTCCAAATACCTATCGGTGATCTTCCCAATTGAATGTAAAATTCACAGGCGGGGGACTTATATGCCAAATAATTACCCTTGTTGATTTTCCTGCTTGAATGTAAAGTTGAACAGAGATGTGATTCTAAATTCCTAATACCTTTGCTGATTTTCCCCATTGAATATTAAGTTAGCCCGGGGTGGGAATCTATATTCCCAGTACCGTTGTTGATCTTCCCAATTGAATGTAAAGTGTAACGCCAGCACCAGAAGGGATGATGGGTTCATTCAGCGCCACGGCCTCTCGAGCCCGTCGAGCCCGTTGGGCCCGTTGAGCCCGTGAAGCAGGCCCGTTGGGGCCCGTTGGGGCCCGTTGGAGCCCGTTGGGCCCGTTGGGCCCGTTGGGCCTGTTGGGCCCGTCGGGCCCGTCGGGCCCGTTGAGCCCGAACCTAGGAAAGGACTATTCTCACCATCATTAACATCCTGAGGATCTGTGGTCGGAAAATCGGCTTTGAGCCCTCTGAGGTTCGGCCAACTTAGCCAAGTCTGGTGGAGGTCGAGAGCCCCAGTTTTGGAAGTCGGGGCACAGAAATGCGACACAGAAATGGGACACATGTGATGATGAATTCATCAATTTGATCAGTTATGTCATGTTATTTCTATGAGCTGCTGATTTATCTCTTGAGTTGTTTTGGTTGTTTTGATTGTTTTGCACTGTCCACACTGGGGCAGCATTGGCATTTGTGGTCCCGACTTTGCCGCTCTTTTCCCGTCCTCAGCACCCGTTTTGAGAAGAGACTTGTCGCTGAATGCTGAAGATCAATGTGTGTTTTTTCTATTTGTTTCTCCTGGTTACAGGACACAAATTTCATGTTTGATGGGTTGTGAGTGATTGGTTGTAAATTAAAAAAAATGTTATAAGCCCATTAGCTATAGACATATTACTAATATTACCCATAAACCATAGTTATTAGATTTATAAATTGAATAAATTGTTAATGGCTGGTGGTTGATGGTCGCTCATGAGCCATGGCCGAAGAACCGAGGCAATGGCAGCAATGGCTTCCCCACCTGGCAGTGGGATATAACGGGAATCAAACATAGGGCACGTTTGATTAGCGGAGGGCTTTGGCTTAAATCACGTTATATCGTATTACACAATTACATGATATATATATATATAGATATATTATGTGTATTGTGTTTTGTTTTCGATCTTCAGGGGCCATTGGACCTTACCAGCTTAAGTCCCTTGCCATGTCGTTTCCAGGCTGGAAAGCCCCGTCGCCTTTAGGGGTTTTCGACTGGAGGAAGGCTCTGCATCTCAGCACCTCCATCAGCTCCATCTCAGCAGCCTGGCAAGCCTGGCATCCAGTTTTTTTGGGCAAGGATTAGCTGGGTTAGCTGGGCTTTATGGGGGATACATCTGTAGTGGCTAGTTGTTGTTGGGGTGTCACTAAAGCAACAAACATACCCTCTGGTAATTTAACATAGCTATTAAAAATTGCCATTTATAGTAGATTTTCCCATTAAAATTGGTGATTTTCCATAGTTATGTTAGTTTACCAGAGGGTAACTGAGCTCACGACTCAGCTTGGATGGAATTCTTCAAGTTGCGCCTCCCAAGACTTGACCGTTGGATTAGCTGGAAAACTCAGCAGCATGGATCGCAGCGTTTAACATATCCAGCAGGGTTGCTCTATTAGGATGTGATACTAGCCAGACAATACATACATTCATAACATTTCAATACATGTTACAACGCGTGTATCCCCGGATTTGTTGACATATATATTACACACAACACACACACACACATATATATATATACACACATGTATGTGTGTGTAAATGTGATTGTGATTGGTGATTGGTTTCATACGTTTATAGTTGTTCACCTAAGCATACAGCTACAAAACGATACCTGATACTCTCGGTGGCAAGGTATGCAACAAGTGCATCAGTGCCTGCGCAACACGAAGCCCAGCGGCGGCAGCCAGACCCTGATCGTCCCATCAGATCCCGGCCTCGCCTCTGATGGCCATAATCCACTTTTTTTGGGAACAAGAGGGCTGATCCGTTTGTACCAAACGGCTATCAAACGAAAAGGAAAAAAAAACTCCAGTAAACTAAACATAATCACCATTACTAGGAGGTAAATCATCGATAAATGTCAATTTTCAACACCAATGTTAGTCTACCAGAGGCGATAATAAACCCATATCAAAGCTATATGTTTATGAGTCAAAACCCTGTACCCCTTCTGTTCACATCGCTCACAAATAGATGTTCATCCTCCTAAAAATATGGTATTTATAGAGCTATTGATCCAAGCCATATTAAGCTTTAAAAACCCATAGCCACCATCTTGAATATTGATCCTGGGATCATAGGAAAAAAAGAAACTAATAGTGAAACCCTAATGATGAATAACCAAAATGTTTATAACTTTGGTTATTTAACATAGCCGTGGTATAGATGGCCTATTTAGTTCGATGGTTTACCGTTCTGAAAAAAGCATTGTGGATCTTTCCATGGCGAACTGTGAATGTCATAACCAGATGGTATCAAATTAACCATTAACCATAGAATCTCCATATATTATCCATTTATTATCCATATATTTCCATAGTAACTTTATAATATCCACCATTTTCAATGGGAAAATCCACTATAAATCACCATTTTCAATAGCTATGTTAAATTACCAGATGGTAATAACTTTATATTATCCATCCAGATTGATCACCTTGGGTGCCGTTCATCGGATTTCATCGGTCCCAGGGGTCCCAGGTCACTGGCGCCTCTCCCTACAGCTCTGGCGGCTCTGGCGCCTACGGGGCAATGTGGTCACCTACGGCAGCGCCATGGGTGTCGTGGCGACTTTTTAAAGTGGTTACTGGAGTTGCAAGGTGTCAAAATGGGGGAAATCATGGATTTTATCCAGATGGATGAGGATATTTTTCATGATATTATGGAGTTTTATGGGTTTTTTTGTTGAGTTTGATTGGGTTTTTTGGTGATAAGATTATGAGAATAGAACCAACAATGTGGTGATATACGTTGACCGAAAGTGTCATTCCACGAAATATTGGTTCTGGTTCAGAACCGGAGTCCCAGCTCATGGATGATCCCTAAGGTTTCCTAAGGTATCAAGGGTAGATTTGGGTAGTACAAGCCCTGAACTCATCAACCAGCAGGAGTTCAGCCGGACCGCAGCTGAGGTGCCGCCCCATGGCGACATGCCATGTTCATCCTGTCCTCAGCACGGCAGACCGTTGAGCCGCATCCCGGCCCGATGTCAAAGGCATCCAGCAATGATGGGCACGGGATGTACATGGCATACAATCTCCTGAATGCAATATTAGTGTAATATATTTCTGTGTGTTGATTTGTTGATTCATGTTTGTTCATGTTTGATAAAATGACCTCTGATGCGAGAATCTCTTTCCCAAGTGTGACGATTGTATTCCGTGCTAGCCAGCAATGAACATCAAGGTGGGTCGGTTGCTCACCCTTAAATTTCAAGGGGACAAACAACTGTCCACCGAACAAAGTGGACTTAATCTGGTTGGTGGTTTGGAACATGTTTTATTTTTCCATATATTGGGAAAAATAACCCCAACTGACGAACTCATATTTTTCAGAGAGGTTGTTGTTTTACCACCAACCAGTAGTAAGTATGTATATTGTATAATATATATATAATTCAAGATTTTTCAACACAAGGAAACCAAAAAAAAACACGGAACATTCAATGTAAGTGTCCAAACCGCCTTGCGCCTTGCGCTGAGAGTTGGATCCCAAGAGACCGTAGTGCAGGTGGTGCATGTGGTGCCCAGTCCCGGATTATAAGTTGATCTATAAATTCCACTAGTTCAATATAGTGTGTATATATATATATGGGTATGGATCAATACCTATTAATACCATGTTTAGGGGGATGAACATCCATAAATCCCAGCTATTTTGATGTGAACAGAAGGGGTACTATTGGTTTTGACACACTGCCATATATATACCATGCCAAGTGTTGACCTAGGCTACCTAGGTAGATTAATTTTATTGAACTATTTGGGGGAGCCACATCTTGCAGCTCAGGAATGTGGTGATGTTCAACACTGCCATCACCTTGTCTCAAGGATGGAGCCTGGCACTGCTGGTCACGCACTCCATGCGCCACTGGGCTGGCATGGGAGGAACGCAGGCTTGCTCCAACGAAAGCATGGCCAAATTGGCAGATGATCAAGATTCAGTAAGCATCTTTGGTTTAAGTTTAATAATGCATATAATGCTGATGTTTTGGTTGTGTTTCTCTGTGTACGTCCAGTATAGGCATACGTGTCATACCAGCATGGTCCATCAAGTTTGAGTCCGGGCGTTGGCCTCGAACATAGCCTGTCGAGGTTTAGATGATTCTACGTGTAGGATCGTCACACTTACCCTCTGGTAATTTAACATAACTATCGAAAATTGCCATTTATAGTTGGTTTACCCATAAAAAAAGTGATTTTCCATAGTTATGTTAGTTTAGCAGGTTTACCAGAGGGTATCCCCTCAGCATTTTTTGAGGAACTACTGTAGCTGTTACAAGTTAGCAGCTAGAATGCGTTGACTTAGCCCACTAGTTGATTTGATTCCCCCAATTAGGGAAATTATTCGGATATCTTTTAATTGTGATTACAGCGGAACCGTTAGATTAAGAACCGATTAAGAATTTTCCAGCCTACCCTGGGGTTCTTAAGTGCTATAGGTGGAAAATATGGGAATTATGAACAAGGCACCCTCAAGTTCTTAACGGGTTAGTTCTTAAGGGGTTCATATGGTTAGGGTTTTGCCAATTCATTTTGGCGTGGTATCAGGTTGCAAAGGTTCCGGGAAGAAAAATACTTTTTAGGACCTGAAAAGTTTTTTCAGGTGCAGGCATTCCAAACAGAGCTATAGGACTATAGGCCAGATATTCCACCATGCCAGGGCTTGAAAGTTTATTTTGGCGTGGTATTAGGATGCAAAGGAGGCGGGGGGAAGAAAAAACTTTTTAGGTAAGGAAGAGCTTTTTCAGGCGCAGGCATTCCAAACAGAGCTATAGGCCAGATATTCCACCATGCCAGGGCTTGAAAGTTTATTTTGGCGTGGTATTAGGATCCAAAGGAGGCGGGGGGAAGAAAAAAAAAACAGGTCCCGAAAGTTTGTTTTTTTTGGATTTGGGCGCGCGAAACAAGGCAGCACAGGCAAGACAAGCCAACACAAGCCAAGGGCAGCCGCCGAGGTTGGATGACCTTCAGCGAGTCCGGCTGGTATCTGGCTGAAGCTGTCGGTGTCAGCCTTGGTGACCACGCAAGGGGTCGACTCTCTCTGGAGAGTTCTGCGGTACACAATCGTTCTTTTGGGAAATAACTGCTAATAATCAATGTTTGGTATATTGAAGGGGAATAAGAACCAGCGGCTAGAATTCAGGGCACCCAGCAATCCAGCCCCTTAAGTTCTTATTGAAGCAGGTTCTTAAACAGTGGTTTCACCGTACCTTCCGGTGGCATCAAACATGGCGAACTTGAAATCCTCTAGTGGATCTTCCAGCCAGCCATGTTTGGTAAGTTGTTATTCTTTGGTCTCTCAAAAAGATGGGAACCCTCCAAGGCCTTTCCGGGGTCACTCAGGTGAGCTGCAAACAAGGCCCGACCTGCTGAGCTTCAACTCGCTGATTCACGCGGCAGCGGACCGAAGCGGAAGGGGTGGACCACATGGTGGATCCAACCGGGAATCGAAAATCCACCAGCAATAGTTCGCTGATTCTCCCAGCGAGCAAAAAATTAGTGCCGGGACTGTCCAACCACGTTTGATGACCGGATTGTCAAGAGATGTCACTCTCAATCCACGCGCCTTTCACATGCCACTGATTGTGGGTCATTGAGAATCACCCCAGCTGCTGATGGATTCCAGATGTAAGAGATTAGATGTGAGATGTCCATCCTCTGATCCTGAAGGTTTTCATGATGTTCTATGCATATCTAACTTCAAATTCCAACATTTCCAAAAATCTCACATGGATCCCTTAAAAAGCTGGAAGCTGCTGGAGCTCGTGCTCAGATTTCAGGATCCAGCCATCCCATAGTCCAACATGGCTAGCTGGGAAATCCCCAGGGACATCAAACTAAATAGGGGTTCTCGAGCTTGCCATGCTTGAGTACCAGAGGGTGTGTACCCGGAGGGGAACGAATACCGTATAACCCAGAAAACACACTTAACCATGTTTTTATCGCTGTTACAAATCCAATTATACCAAAAGAATATCCCCATGATACCTCCATAAATATGCATGATACCTCCATGATATTGGCTAATTCCCGTTAAATGTTATAAAATCAACATTCTTGGTGGCTAAATCCCATAAAAATTGTTTAAATCATCACTTTTGCTGGTTGAAACCCATTAAATGTCATAAAAACACAATTGTTGGTGGTTAAATCCCATAAAGAGTTTCAAATCACATGTTTTGTTGGTGAAATCCCATGAACATCACCATTTGAATCATTTATATCAAGTACATCTTCATATCCATACATATGTTTGATTATATAGATCTTTAAATATCTATAAATGGTGGTATAAGATATTTGTGGAAATATGTCATTCAATGATGATTTCATTGACATAAATATCCCATGTCTATATCACTAAACTCCCATCATACTGCGGATGGTTGCGAAATCCTGCATCAGTTGGTAGATGGTTTATTCCATTCTAATCCCATTGAAATTACAATGTGTCATAGTTACCAAGAGTTAGCGGTGCAGGATTTCGCAACCATCACCGTATCCCCGTGACTTTCAAGCGCGGCATCGCGAGGACAGCGCTGCCTGGCCGCTGGCCTTGCAGGTGCTCCAGTGCGCTGGGGCGCTGGGGCAGCGGCTGAGTGTGGTGAGTCACAACAGCGCCATCCATGCGACATCAGGTGTCTAGGGAAAACATAATTGGATTTAATGGGATTTAGCCAGCAATAAGGATTGTTTGTGAATTACTAGGATGTTAATGGGAATGGGTTCCCTACATTTCATGGTTATATCCTTCTAGAGTGTATAAGACAACATCTATAGTTAATAGGATATATTTATAACTAAGCATCCATAAATGGAAATTTAATAGGAATATAGTGCGAATACAACGGATGTATCACTAAAACTCTCAATCGTGGGCCTGGGCCTCCCTCAAAAAAAATGGGTCAAAATGATGCCGAAAAAAATCTCGACCAATTCTTGTGGGATTCACCCTAAGTCGATCGTTTTTTTTGGTACCGCGCCTTTCATGTTGCGGTACCGGGTATGATGTCCAAGACCAGCCTCCATTGGTTTATAAAGAAAACGCCCAGATTTTACAAATTTGGGGTAAGCTGCAACACACATTCATACACATCCAATATCTTGACAAGTTCAGTAACTTGGTGAAGTAACTTGGTTGGTACAGAACATCAGTATGTTATATATTGATAGTGATGGTGTTATATCAGCAAATTATCATCCCCACAAAAGATAGGGAAACGGTTGGTTGCCTGCCGGGCGCCATGGTTTTTCCAGGACCCTGGCGATGGGCACACCATCTGCTGGCCAAGCTGGCAAAGATTCCTGGTATCGAAGCAGATCTCATCAGTTGCAACTCGCTGCTGGGAGGGTGCCCCTGGGACATGGCCTTGCACGAGCCTTGGCTTGGTTTGGCCTGGTTTGGCCTGGTTTGGCCTGGTTTGGGGTTTAGCCCTCATGGACAAACTGGTGAATTTGAAGTCAACAAGATGGATGATGGCAGGGGAAAAAAAAATGATGAGCTAGTGAGAATGGTGATTTAATTTAAGCAATGAAAAATGGAAAAGCATGCAGGTAAGTCGGATTTCCCCATACCCTATATTGGATTTGCTGTTTAGGTGATGCTTGATTCCCCTGGAGGTACTCAAACAGGAGAGTTGGCTGCCTTGTAAGGTCTGTGATGCCTGGTGTAGCAGGGATGCTGAAGTAAGTGGCAATGGATCCTGGCTGGTGGTAGCAAACATTCTTGTTACGTCTAGCTGTTTCGCCACATTTGGGATGATCCCTCTTGACTTAATGATGTTTTTGGGATGGAAACCACCAACTAGATCAAGACTCCTGAATGGCCGGCACTTTAAGGGTATCCAAATCCTGACCCAGAATGATTCTTTCCGCACACGGGCACCTCCCAAGCTGCAGTTTCCTCCCAGGATTTGGGGATGATGTCAAGCTGTTTCAACCTGCAGCCCAGCATCATGAGCAACTGGGCACAGACTGCAATGGTCAATATTTGGTTGGAGAGCACCACCCAGAACATAGGGTCCCCAATGCGCATTGCTTTCAAATAAAATCGGGGAAGAGGGTCCACTGAAAACAGCCATTGTGATGTCAACCTCCGATTTATCAACCACTGGGCATCACACCCAACCAGCGGTGGATTGCCATTGAAGCATGAGCTTCCCAATCAAAGAACCTTCGGGATTTGTGAATCCTCAATTCCATTTTCATCAAATGAAAACCCGCGTGCAATGGTTTGTTTCCGGTGGGCAGACCACCAACAATCATCCACGCACAAATGCCATCAAATGCCCAGATACAGATCGAAATTAGACCATCCCCGTTAAAACATGGTAAAGCCAGGGTGCCCATTGGTTAGATATGTTTAGGAATTTGAAGGTATGCTTAGAGGGCTCTACCACAACCAATGCCCCAGGTCACAACAAATGCCTGGAAGCTGAAGCCCGGGACTCCCAGTGGCAGCGTGCGTTTCCAGCTGGCCGATTTCGAGGTTCCGCAGAACCCTTGGCCAACGTGGTAACGTGGAACAGCATCATGGCAGCCAAAAACTGGTTGAAGCATGTTGAATATAAAGGTTAAAGCCATAGAAATGGAATGAAATAAGAAAAAATCAGGAATATAGGGATCAAAACAGAAAAATCTAAATCAAATATGCCCGCAGGCAAACATATCCAATGTGCAGATGCTTTATGATCAACTGGATTGAAAACGCAGGTTTTCCATGGTTTTCCATTACTACCGTAGATGGACGATGAAATCAAACCCTTGCTGTATTGTTGTACACCCGGCACCCCAAATTTCAATGTTGTCTTTGGGCTGCGCGCTTGGGTCCGGTATGGTCCAGCGGACCAAAAATCAAACCCTGAACACAGAGGAAGCTAGATGACCTCCCATGCTTGTACCTAAATAGAATGAGGGGGCAGGAGCCCCTTTTAAAATAGAAAAAAGAAAATAAACTGAAAATAAAATGGGTCAGACCCCAGCATTTTATTTTTTGAGGTGCCTAACTCATGAAGTTAACTGACAGAGATAGCATGATAGCAAAGATGTACAGCTGTGAACGGTCTGATCATTTTGTGAAACGTTCCAGAGATTTGGAATCACTTGGATATTAATTTCGAAAATGGGTTGGCCGCCCTCATTTTCCATTGCCTCCCTTGGCCAACAAAGACACACGGGCAGCTCACAGCCGCCAATGAGATTCCTTGAATTTATTTATATGTTTTCTAGAAACCATCCAGATGTCAGAATTGGAACCAATTTTTTTTATATTATATATATGTATATTGGTCGAAATCCGCACAATTGTTCCTTCCTGTTGGCACGTGACAAAAGATTACATTTACTTCACAGATGCTGGGATATATGAGTCTGGGTCTTGCCATTTTGGTGGTTTTCCTTCGAAGATGATTAAAACCAATTAAATAAGGAAACAAGATCAACCCAAAAGAAAATGCCGGAGCCCGAGGTCCAACAGTTGCCAGGTGGAGGGTGCCTGACGTCATATTCTTTTTATACCTGTCCATTGGATTTTGCTTGGGTTTTCCTATCTTACCTTATGCCTTCTCATTTTATTGGCATTTTTGTCCTTAGGCCCCTGCATTTTATTTTATTTTTTGAGGGGTTCCACCCCCCCGCCCCCGGCAACAGACGGGGGTCTAGATGGAGTTTTGTTCAACATTGAAATCTGGGGTGTGGGGTTTTACTTGGTAGATGTCTGTAGGGTTTGATTTGTTTGTCCATCTGCTGCACGTTAGGTTAAACATGGCTGTTTAACCGTCAATAAATGGGGATTTCGCTTGCAAAGATCTGGATCATATGCCTTAACCGTCAATAAATGATAACAAATGCAAGACAACCAATTGCCACAGATGAATTTCCACAATTTAGCTATTGACAAAATGGATGGATTGTAGCTATAACATGCTATAACTATATACTCTGACTATCATTGTTTTTAGACTTACCCTCTGGTAATTTAACATAGCTATTGAAAATGACCCATTTATAGTTGATTTACCTATTAAAGATTGTGATTTTCCATAGCTATGTTAGCTTACCAGAGGGTAAATTTAAATGGATTTGCCATAACTCACTAGAAATCAAACTTTGAGCAGGGGATCAGCAAATCACCAAGCAATCTACTGGTTTCAACATCGGTCTCCCGTCTATCAAAATGTCAATGTCAGGGGCATGGCCAATTTTCAGACGCCCAAATGGACTTGTCCATTGCCACGGATGAAACCCTGCGGTTCCCCGGGGCCCAGGTTCGGTGTCTGCCTGTGAGACTGGCACCCAGTGGTTGACTGCCGCATTTCTGCTGCTTTGCATGCGGCTTCAGCGGTGCAATCCGGAACTGGAAACTTAGCCCTAGCAGCTATAGAATGCCAAAAAGATTGTCTGGGGAAACCATGGGGAAAACCTTGATTTTGAGCGGTTTAGTAATGGTAAAATGGATTCCCGTGCGCATTTCCACTACAGAATGGGTGCACCCATGTCCTGTTTAACAAGCCATTTCTATAACAAACGGTTTCATTTTGAAACGACCCGCGCCACATGAATCCTGCCATCTTGTAAAAGGATGTAAAAGGATGCATATAAAAGGCTAATTCTTAGCTGGGCGAATCATTTTGTAAGAGCAAACTTGGCCCACATGCGTAATAAAATGACGTCGGGGCCAGTCATTTCATAACAATTATCGAACCGTTGCCTTAACGTTAGGGGGTGCAGGAGGATTAAAATGGGAGAATCATCCATAAACGGAAGAGGGAACTATCATTTATATATATATATATATATCCATTTATCACCATTTTACTATGTTTAAACTAGTTTAAACCATGGAAAATTAGAATTTGTTCATGAGTTCGACTGATTCATGTGGCAAGTCTGCCATAAACGCAAATCCTTTAGGGATTGAGATCCCACCCACTGGCTTTGCCACAGTACTGTTTTGGGCCATAAATAGACAGATTTACTTTTAATCAGTCAGTCAAGCCATAATTAGGGGTAAACATTTACGTCAAGAATTACAGATTGTATAAAATCATCCAATTGTAGATATCAGATATATACTATAAGATATAACTTCCATAAACTCTAGTTAGCCTAGTTATGTTTGTCAACTTCGCTATCCTTTGGTGTCACTTTGTGAGACCTCCAAGCTGAGATGTGAGGAAAGCATCAGCATGGGCATCAGCGCATGTCGTGAAGCTGGGCATTGGGAAGTTGCAATGGCGCTACTTCATTCAGCAGCTCGAAATATAGAACTGTTTGGTATGCTTGGTGATGCATCGAAGCAAAGCAAGGGGAACAATGCTGCAATATGCTGCAATCTATATGAAAACAGGGAAAAAAAAATATATATATATATATAGTGTGTATATATAATTATATATATATACATATGTGGGCAGTGTTTTGAGTAAACTCACATAATGCATAGACAAGGAAAATATTCAGTAAATTTAGAAATATATGGAAAACCTACCAAGCATTTTCCGAACGGGTTTCCCGATGAGTTTTCCATATTGTTTTGTTAATTTACCAAGGGTGAACCACAATTTGGTGGCCGAGATCCCCGTTTTGCGTGATTACATCACCAGTTTGGAGCGTGTTCCCCGTGACTAGTGGTACATTGACGTTTCCAATTCCCATTTTTAATATATTCCAAATACCTTGATGTAACTAACATACAGTAGATGTTGGTTTTCCCCACCATTTGTAGATCCTTTTCGGAACGGGAAACCATTGGTTTTCCAATGATTTCCACATCTATGTAAACGTTTGCCCTAGGGTACATGATCATCCCCAATATTATCCCATGATATCCCGTGGTTGATTTTCCATATTCTCAATAACAAGGTGAAAAATCTAGGGATCCCCCTATTATTTCCCAATACATACATACATACATATATATATACATACATACATACATACATACATACATACATATATACATACATACATACATACATACATACATACATACATACATACATACATACATACATACATACATCATACATACATACATACATACATACATACATACATACATACATACATACATACATACATACATACATACATACATACATACATACATACATACATACATACATACATACATACATACATACATACATACATACATACATACATACATACATACATACATACATACATACATACATACATACATACATACATACATACATACATACATACATACATACATACATACATACATACATACATTACATACATACATACATACATACATACATACATACATACATACATACATACATACATACATACATACATACATACATACATACATACATACATACATACATACATACATACATACATACATACATACATTACATACATACATACATACATACATACATACATACATACATACATACATACATACATACATACATACATACATACATACATACATACATACATACATACATACATACATACATACATATATACATACATACATACATATATATATATATACATACATACATACATATATATATATATATATACATACATATATATATATATACATACATACATATATATACATACATACATACATACATACATATATATATAGATATATATATATGTGTGTGTGTGTGCGCGTGTGTAATCCGAGGATAATCCCATGATGACCATACTCCCATCCACTTGTCCCCCGAAATCCCCTTGCAGTTCGCTTCAGGTGACAGCTGATGTGGTCGCCTTCAACAGCAACATCAGCACCTTTGAGGCCCCGAAATGGTCGATCTCGGGGATGGAACTTCAAAGGAATGGATACCATCTGCTTATGACTAACATAGCCATGGAAAATCACCATTTATAATAGGTAAACCATCTATTTCTATGGGCCATTTTTCATGGCTATGTGAAATAAGCAGAGGGTATAGATGGGATATTGCCGTCTGGTGAACTAACATAGCTATGGAAAATCACCATTTTTAATAGATAAATCAACTATAAAGGGTCTATTTTCAATAGCTATGTTACTGTGAATTACCAGAGGGTAGATGGGATATAGCCATCAATATGGCTATGATATATTATGATATATTATGATGAAACTTCACTGATGGAGATTTCTGGGGGTGAAAAGATGTAAGAAGCAAATCACTGCTAGGATTTGTCGGGACATACGGGGATGGGCGCTAAGTGTGTGGCTAGTGAGACATGGAGAGAATGAGATTTGTTTCATCGCGGGAAATTTTGGGGTGCCCTATTGTATGTGATTGGACATCAAAACAAGTGAAGTCAATGCTGCTCATGTGTAATAAAGTCTGTGGCATTTGCATCATGCTGGTCCCAAAGACAGAACATGGCTTGCACCGCATGCCTCCCGAACAATCACTGTTCGGTCAGGTTCGCTTGTTTGATCGTGGTTTCATCCCCCTTTTGGGTTTCTTTGAACATAGTGCAACTCAAAACTTGTTGGGCATCTTTTTGGATGACTAGTCATCACTATAACGTGATATATGGAGGTTTCCTAAAATGGGGGTACCCCCAAGTCATCATCCATTTTAGTTGGAATTTCCACTGTAAACCATCCAGCAGAAACCTCCATATGGTCCATATATCAATGCCATGCCACTTGGGTTCACAGGTCTTGGGGAACTGGACATGCTCCCTGCAGATGCTGGAGCAGATGCCTCATCGGAACCTAGCAACTTGGAGGAGCAGTGGAGGGTTCCCAGGGTGTCCAAAGCGAATTTCTGGTTGGCCCTTGGGGATTCCAAGTTTTTTTTTCGGGCCAGAAAGGAACTTGGGGATCTTTGGTGATTTTTGCCATCTCAAGTAGGAAAAATGCAAATGTCTTGGTTGAAGGAAGGATTCAACCCGCAGTTTATGGCCGTTTAGCAGGGAAGCATGATGATACTTCCGGCACCCAATTTCAATGGGAAATAAAAAAATGTGTGGGGCAATTTTATATAATGGGAAACCTTGTCATAAACCAGAGGCTGTTGGGGCACCAGATAAAAACGCATGCGACAGCCTGTTGGGAAGGGAATGTTCAGAATGCGACGCGCTGTGTCTGTTTTTTTTTGGGCCCGTATGATAGAATGTCCCACGAACAGTCCATGGAGAATGAAAAGAATACCAATTTCGATCAAATATGCTGGTCCCAAAACGGTAACCCTTTTTGGACCTCTTTTTTTCAAGTGTCCAAAGTCCATTGATTATAACTGCACCACATGCATATATATATATATACATATATATATATACTGTATATATAAACAACATTTATAACATGTTATAACTACCATCTACAACTTTATATGTTCTGCAGGTCCCTGACGTCATCACTTTCAACGCCTCCATTGCCTCGTTGCCTTGGCCATCTTGGCCCTGGGCCGTTCAGTTGATCCAGCAGATGCGGTCGCACGGCCTGGCCGCCCTGGCGGGTCGGGTATCATTATAGGTTGGTAACATGAACTATTCATATACCATGGCGTATGTTTCATAGCTGTAGATTAAGTTGGTAACATTTATATACATTTATCATTATATAAATTTATATAATATACTGATATACTGTAGGTGTGAATGTATAGAGTATAGGTATTACAATGGTATTACTGCATAGGTGTCATGCATGTTGACTAGTGACTAGTGGCATATGAATGTTAACAATAGCCATCAATTATGAAAACATGATATATCTACGAAACTTTGGATGTGAGCGTTATCAGATACGTAGTTGTTGTTTTTCAATGTTTGCAAATGTGTTTGCAGATTTTGGTTGGGTAGTTTTGCCTCCTGAACCTCCATGTCCATGGATGGGTTTACTGTATATCCTAACGAGCTGTAAACTGGAACCATGCCCCCCACAGCGGGTACACAGAATGATTCTGATCATTCATGATCATAGGAAATCAATGGAAACTATGTGTGATATGTAGATACATTTATTTATAAATGTTTTGCGGTTGTATTTGTATGTATATGTATTATGTTTGACTCAGGTTTCCAAGGCCGGGAAGAGCACCGCCGAAGCCCAACCTGGTGTCATACAACACCGCACTCAACGCGTGTGCGCAGGGGCAGGCGCCCTTTAGCACCTTGGACGGGAAAAATGTGGCAGCCTGTTGGGGCCCGAGTATTTCTGGTCAGGGTCCAATAGTCTTTGATCCACTTGATGTCATCCCAACTTGATGTCAGATGCATAACAGGCGTTTAAGAGCCCCAAGCATGGAAAGGTGGAGTTGATGTTCGAAGTACGCAATTCAATTTCGCTTATGTCGTGCAGAACAATCTCGCACGCAATAAAATGCATGACACAGGCGTGCTGATGTCTGATAATTGATTTAAAAATTGGGATTCAGACAATGGAAGGATGAAATAGTCATGTATAAACCCCCTGTAAACCCAACATAAATCATTGCAGTTCCATGTGAACCCAGTGCACTTCATAATACTTCATATTGAAACAGCTAAATCATTGTTAAATCATATTAAATCCATGTTCAAAACACAGGGTCGGCACCCACATCGCATCACTGAGGCATCCTCCTTACCCTCTTCGCCGCAAGCCGTGCCGAAGGCGGTCCCGACAGTTTCAGCTACAACAGCGTCGTCGAACGCTGTGACGCATGGCACTCAGCTCTGGACGTCGTTGCGGAGATGTCGCAAAACCTGGTTCGACCCAGCCTGGTGTGTCAACAAACTTTACTTCGCAACTGGGAACTGACCTATCGAGGGAGGGCGCTGGGTAGTTTGGAGCTATGGTTGTATCATGTTGTATCCATGTGCAAGCATATGCCCCAAAAAATGGGGAGCTAGGGAAGGGGTTCCCAATCATGTGAGAGAATATGATATTGAAACGCTTGAGGAAGTTTTGACCGGAAGAAATGTGTAGATTTACGTCTGAATTGTTTTTGTTTAAACTAGAAGGTGGAAGTTTTCAGTTGCGATGGGCAGTTTGAACTTATTGGGATTTGGGCTCCCAAAATCAGTAAAATGTGCCACCCACCTATCCTCAGGAAAGTGCAGCTGGGCCCGCCAGTGGTCCAGCGCCATCGCGGGCCTGGCATCGAATTGGGCCTCCGTTTCCTGGGGACTTGCCGTGGAAGCGTGCGAGAAGTGCAGCAAGCCCTTCCTTTGGCGATGAGGCCAGCAACGACTTGTGCCTGGAAAGATCCTGGAAGATCCAGGATGTGAGTTTCGGAGACATCAAACAACACTATGCTCAGATTGTTTTCTTCCACTGCTTACCACTCTTTCCCCCCTGAAAATGGGGAAAGAGTGGTAAGCAGTGAAAGAAAGGAAGCCTGAGCATAGTGTTGTTTCATCTGGATAAAGCTTGAATTTAAGAATCCCAATCTGCAGGTTTTTGAGGCACCCGCCATCAGGTGTTGGACGGTTTTGGAAGCCTCGACCCAGAGACTTTCCAATTTTTGCATCTGAAAAAGATTGAAAAGGTGGGAGGAGCGGGGTGGCAGCACACAGCATCACAGCACCAACTGCAGTGATCAATCCTTGTCATCAGCTCACAAAGATCCAAGGTCACTTGAGTTGCCCTATACAAAACAAAAAAAAAACTCCAGATGCAGTACTTTTTCACACAGCTATGGAGTGCTATGGAAATGTGATGTTCAGATGAAAATCCATTGAAAATCCTATGTTCACGGATGTTTTGTATCATGATTTAATATGATTTACCTAACATATCCTGAAAATTGCTGAAATCCATTGAATTTATTAGGATATGTTAGGTAAATTAATATGATTTAATATGATTTCAGCAATTATTATTATTACAATAAATGATACAATCATATTAAATATTTTATCCTGAATTTATACCATGAAAATCCCATAAAATCCCATGATTTCCCTACGAAAAATGGTGATTTTCCACCGTGGACTTCCCCGTTTTTTTTCACCGAGGTCCCAGCCCAGAAAGCTCAGCCGAAGCCGAGCCGCCCAGCGCAGAAGCAAACGCCGAAGACGCGAAGGCATCGTTGCGAAGACGTGAGGTCAACTCGGTTGCGAGTTGAAATATGCTGTTTTATGATATATGACATCAATATGACATCAATATGACATCGATATATGACATCAATATGACATCAATATGAAATCTATGAAATCTATGAAATCTATGAAATCTATGAAATCTATGAAATATGTTGGTTTATGACATCAACATGACTTGAGTCCGTCATAGCTGTAACAGAAAAAAGGCTGGATTTCGGCTGATATTTTGGGCAAAGATTCTTTTGGCTCGGTGTTACAGCTACTGGGATTGACTCAAAATATCTCAAAATATTACAGTATGAAATCTAATCACAACCACCCCACTGGATGGTGATTGTCAACGACTAAGTTTTGAAGTGGAGAGCCTGCTGGCCCTGCGCAGGCGGAGGAGGAAGAGGAGGTGGATGGTGAGGAGGCGCCTAAGGGTACCGAGGCAGTTGCATGGTTTGGTGCGCCGAGGGGCACCTTGGACCTTGCATGCTAGGGCTGCTAGGGGTCGGATCAAGCCCTTGACGGAGGCAGATGAGAAGGAGGAAAGCGAGGCTGATGCGGAGGAGGAGATTCGCTGCACCACCGTGCCGATGCAGTGCTGCAGGGTGCATGCCCCCTTCTTTGCAAGAAAAACACAAGTGGTAAACTATAGACAGGGATAGAGGGAAAATCAGGGAAAATATGCAGCCGACAACCTCGAGCTACTTGACAGCAGATGCCTCACAGCTGCAACAGCTTCATTTTGGGCAAGCGGGCATTTGTTAGTTGTATATGTGGTCCGTTGAATTTCCTTTGTGCGCTGTTTAGCAGGTGAAGGAGGTTGCAAGGACCACTCCATGGGTCGTTCACAAACTTTGCATGTTCATCAGCTGTGACAACTTTGGCCTTTCAATTAGCTACTAGTTGCTGTTGCCTTCAGAGTCCAAAAAACATCAAAAATGTTGATACATTTTGTGAGGCCCTTCCCGTGATGAAGCTCAATCTCAAAAGAGAATAGGCATGTTTGATCATTTTTGATCATCTTTGATCATCTTTGATCCTGAAACTTGCTCGTTGTTTCCATCATTTATGAATATGGTACCATATGGTACCATATTGGTAATAATATTACCCAATTACTACCATCATTATTACCAATAGGTCATGTTGTTTCCCCTTTTTTTCCCATCGTTTTTTCCCAACGGAAAACACGGTCGCTGCAGTTTTTTGACCCTCGGCCAGGACGGAGGTGATTCCCAGCTCCTGGCGAAGTCAGGGAAAGCGGCGGAAGAAGCCTCTCGCTACGTGCCCCGGCGGCGATGTCTCGGTGCCCGGCGTTCAAGCCAGAAAGGCGGGTTTATAACTTAACTATACTTAACATTACTTAACTATACTTAATATATCTTAATATATCTTAATATTACTTAACTATGGTTATATGCAATAACTAATATGACTTAACTATACTTAACTATACTTAACTATACTTAACTATACTTAACTATACTTAACTATACTTAATATATCTTAATATATCTTAATATTACTTAACTATACTTAACTATACTTAACTATACTTAACTATACTTAACTATACTTAACTATGGTTTTGACATGTTATGACATGGTTTATGGCACTGAAAAACATCTTATAACTGTACTGAATGGGTATGGTTTATGGTACTTAATATAACTTATGACTCTAGTTATACTATGGTTAATGGGGATTATAAGCCAATTTATCACTGCGTGGGTTGGGTGTTTTTGGGATTTCACCAGCCAAAATATGACTATGACCTGGGGAGAACTTTGGGTTCAAGCCAAAGTGTGTGAGTGTGTTGAAACAGGAGCACATGAGTCACATGAGGTTTTCACGCCATCAGTACTGATATGGTCGACCATGACATTGAAAAAAAAAGGTCGATACCAAAAGGACCATGAAGAAATAGGGTCCGTGATTTTGATTCGTATCCAAATGGGGCCAGCAAGCGCCCTTTTTTTTGACACTTTGTCCGGGGGGCCATATTCAAAAGTGTTTGTGATTCAGTTTGATCCCCCAACTACTAATCCCCATTATCCTTGCGCACTGCAGATTGAATCATTCCTGCATGCAATCCCACTTTCACGAACTACAGGTTGCTCGCTTACCCAAGACCATGGTTTGTCAGGTTCGTCCCTTATGAACTCGTGATAATTTCAACCCTGGCTTAGTAACCCCGCTGAGCTGTTTCGTTGGGGGGGCAATTGAAAAGCAAGTGATCATTTTTTGAATGGAGGCCCCCCATTTATCAACCAGTGTTAACAACCATCCGATCTTGACGGTCGCTGTTTTGGTGCATAGGGAAGTCACTGTGAATAGTGAGCACATTACTCTGTACCCCTAGTCAAAACTTCTGACAACTTGCAAGTCGCTAATGTCAATGTAGATTGAGAATTGCTCATCCCATAATAAATTGTTGGGTTTTATATTCACCATATCCGCTGTGTGTTGGCTGAATAACCTTAAATCATATTGATGGTTTGCATCCATACCCCAATGTTTTGTCCTAATCATCCCTTTGGGCATGTGCCATGATATTCCACAATATTGCATCCCACTATAGCCCCATTCTTAGTCATAACCCCCATCATTTTTCATATACCTTGATGGTTTTCCCATGATTTTGCCATGAAATGTCAATTGTTGCGTTGTTTCCAATGATTTTCCCATGAACTCCCTATTTTTCCTTGGGTTTTCCAAGGATGTTCCCATGAAATCCACCATTTTTCGTGGCTTTTCCATGCTTTTCCCATGAAAGCCACCCCAAAACCCGGCCCTTTTTCGGGCCAGGCCAAGACGGCCGCGGACTTCGCGCACCAGGCGGCCGAGGCGGCGGAGACGGCGCGGCAGGGCCGGCAGGGCGGCAACACGCTGCCGCTGACGAAGAGCATCGCGCACAGCGCCATCGTGCCGCGGAGAGGGATGGGATGGGATTTTCCGTGATTTTCCTCCATGAAACATGGTGATTTTCCACATTTTTCCATATATCTGGTTAATAGTGGTGGTTTTAATAGTGGTTAATAGGCTATAAACCTGGTTAATAGTGGTTAATAGTGGTTAATAGGGTATAAACCAACAAAAATGGGAATATGATGATGATTTGGTTGGTGATTTGGAACATTTGTTATTTATTTGTCCATTTCATATATGGGATAATTAATCCTTCCCATTGACGAACTCATATTTTTCAAGATGGTTAACACCACCAACGAGGAGCTCATGAGGGATCATGATGAATTGTGATGAACTATATATATATATGCATATAATGAACCATATTAATCTCTCTATATATATATATTATATGTATGTGTGTGTGCATGTGTAATACGGAATGTGTTTTGTTTCCACTGAGATTCAAGCATGTAGATATATGGAATGTGTATATGGTGATTGATTTAAAAGGTCCTTGTACAGAAGTATGGTTGCGGATGAAAGAATGTAGTTCCGCCACCATATATATTGGCTTCATTGATATATTGATTAGATCAGACTGATTGATGGGTTGGGATGGGACCGAGATATGATTTTGATATACTCATAGGTTCGCTACTCAATTATGTATGTAGATAGATAAAAAAAATAGGTACATAGAAATCTGATATACAGATACAGATACATGCGTGTGCACGTTGATGTTTGCATATTTTTGTCTAACTGGGATACAAGTATAATATATATATATACAATATATATAATATATTACATTGCTTACTCTATACTGGATACTTCACAAATTTGCGGTGAATTGATGTTATCAGTTAGATGGGGGACCTCCAAAACATTGGCACCTGGCTCAGCCGGCGTCGTTTTTGGTACCGTTTGGTAACTTAAAAATTGTGGATCTGATACTTTATATGATTCTAGATCAATCTTGCTGAACATATTGATGTTCATGAATGTTCTTGGGATTGGCATGACAATTCCAGATTTTTCAAGCCATGGGTTTGATTATATAGATCTAAATTGACCATCCCCAGGAACCTAAACAAAATCCCAAGGTACTGACTCTTACGGTGGTCAAAGCCGTTCGCGTCGTTGGCTATGCTACCATGGACGTGGCTGCGCAGTGCCGCCTCGCAGCGAGGCAGATGGGATTTCACCAACAATGGTGGTACAATGGAACTACAATGGGAATGTAATTCTGGTAGTTCCATTGTACCACCATTGTAGTATTTTTGTTATTACATTATTCCATTACTATCACCAGAATTATTTAGACCAACAATGGTATCCAGAATTATTTTTCTTATGGTCTAAATAATTCTGGTGATATAATTTATGGATATTTATGGCATGGGGAACATTAGCAGTGTTACCCTCTGGTCATCAAACATATAGTGAAGATGATTTTCCCAGCGAACGAAACATCCATTTAGTTCCAGCATTTTCCGTTGCCACGTTTGATTTACGTGACCCTCTCTCATGGAGAACTTGTGAAACTCTACTTTCTGAACTTCTGAGATCCTGTTCTAGGCCTTAAGGAATCGAATTTACCCCCTGTTTCCTCTAGCTGCCCCTGGTCCCGTTGCGCAGGAAGTGTAGCTCCGCGGAGTGCGCGGAAAGCTCCACAGAAGCCATGGGTTTGGGCCTTGAAGCTCTAAACGCCGCCCTGAGCTGCGCAGAGGCCGGACGTCCAGATCGGTGTTGGTTAAGGTCACCATTGAAAATGGTCACTTATAGTGGATTTTCCCATTAAAAATGGTGATTTTCTATAGTTATGTTAGTTTACCAGAGGGTAACCAATGACAGCCCCCCATCACATTTCCACATTTCCCACCAGAAAACCCACCAGAAATTCCACAGAAAAACCCATGGAAAACTGGCCAAACATGGCCCAAAATCCGCCAGGTCACTGAAGTCACCGCCGCAGAGCTCAGCCGCGACGTCGACAGCGACGACAGCGAGGACGTGGCCGCCGAGCGCTTCATCGGCGCGGCGGTGCGCTGGGAAGAAATGATGGAGAAATGATGGAGAACTGATGGATAAACATGGATAAACAATGGATTCTTTGATATGTTAAGATATGTTGTCAGCACATAAACATACATAAACCAGATAATTTGATATGAAGACATCATAAGAAATCTAAACATGAAAACGGTTTTTGAAGTGCCCATGAAAGTGCGGTTGAGGTTCGCGCCTCGCTGGCCGCGGCCAGCGCGTCCAATGCTGCCATGAGTGCAGCCATTGCAGCAGTGGAGGGCAATCGACAGTGCATCCAGGTGCCAAAAGCGTAAGAGTTTTTTGCAGAAAAAGCGATGTTTTAATTAGCAAAAAGTAGTGAACTTTTGATGGGATAATGATTCATAGGGGTTAATGATGGTTAATGATCAAAAACCAATTTTTAATTATATAAAAATGAGAAAAACTGAACTTCTACTGGGATGTTGATGGGATATCTATTCTGATATGAAGGGCATGATCAACAAATACATGCCAGAAATGGGAGTTTCAGTCTTTTAAGATCTTTTAAGTTAACTTATCGAGTTTAAACCTGCACATTTGTCTTTCACCGGTGAAAATTGGAGGTTTGCCGGGAAATGCTGTGGAGTGTGGGAATCCATTGTGAGAAAATCCAGCAGAATCCTTGCAAAATACCGTTAAAATCATGGAAACATCCCGTCAAAATGCACCTATCACCCAATCGAAATTTCCACATGTTGCCCAAATCCTGCCCACAAATTCTTGGAGATCGAAGAAACACAGCTGCCTTTCACAAAGCACAGTCTGTCAGGCAGCTCAACCTGCTGAGGCTCCGGTCTCAGACATATTTTGCAGGTGGTTTTTTGGTGTTTTGATGTGTTTTGGGTGGCATGGAGTCGAGCACTATTCTGGAAAAAAATCCAACTGGATGTGTTTCTGCTGATGTTTGGCGATTCCATGTAGACTTGGACCTCCTGGCATCAGGACGAAGATCCCAAGCCTCAGGAGACAGAGGACAAAGCCCATGGCCCATGGTGTGTTGCGACCTTTGGGGTCCATGTTTTGTGGGTTTCAGCATTGTTTTCAGCGTCAGCCATGGAAGTTTCAATAGCCTCATATAGCCTCATAGTTTCCAACTTGCGGACAAAGTTGGATGAATTCGATACGGATATTGACCTGATCTACATGGCTGGAGATTCTATGAAACATCACAATTTTAGTAGGATTGCTGGGCTGTATCATATACTCAGGATTTGTTTCATGTTTTTTTTCCTCTCCAATAAGATAAACGCCAATGTTAGCATCCCGGTTTCAGGAGAAGTCTGTGAAGTCCGACGCGGATGGTCACGAAACGGCCAGGCGCTGCCGATGGTGCGAGAAGCTCCTTGATCCCGTGTCTAAAAATCACGCCATTGAAAGAAAAACTGCCTTTCTGAAAAGGATAAGATGAAAAACATAAGAAAACATCATGAGATGAGGTCATACGAATCTAGGTGTAGATTCAAAAAATCTGAAGCTGCAGGTCGGATCAGTCGGAACCCAAAGCCTCCGAAAGCCCGGAGGAGCAAGGCCTCAAGAGGCCGTCCTTATGGGAGGTCCGGTAAAGGGAGGTAACAACCATAATAGTTCAACCAGTTGGGTTAGTGGAATATACCCCAGAGACAGGCTGTTAACCAATGGTAACCTCTGACAAATTGGGATCTTATTGGGTGAGGGAAGCTATTCAATCCTTTTACCTGAGTTTCCAATGTTATAATCCACCATTTGGGGGTCCCATGGGAAGCTGTGTGTTTGGGGGAGGGGAACTTTGGCAAATCCAAGTCTTGTGTCGTGTGTGTGTGTGTATGCGGATTAAAACAAAACATTCAATGGAGTAAATTTTGACATAAACCTGGCACACATGTGTTTATGTTGGCTTGAATTTGACACCAAATCGGATCAGAGTTTTTGGCCTTCACAGGGAAGCTTCAATACAAAGGCGTCATGCTGCTGCTATTTCCAGATCATTTACCAGCTAAAAATAGCTTTCTCTATCTCACAAGCGTGACTATGTCAAAGTTGTTTCCCAAAGCTGGCATCCTTCCAATCTCAGACCAAAATTCGGGGCCACACCAGGCGAGTGTGAGCCTCGGGAATTGTATGATTTGTGCCAGGCAAATAAATCAGAGAAGCAACAATCACAAGGTGCACGGAGCGCTGGCCGCGGTGAGTTCGGCAATGTCCGGCATTTGTTTTTGGGAGAGTCCAACGGTGAATTGGTTATGGGACCTATGGGAGGTTGTTAGGTTAGTTGCTTCAAATCTCTTAATCTCTCGTGGACTTGTCCATCCTACGTGACGATTCCAAATGACTTGATGTTTATTGCCATGGATTTTTGAGCAAATTAAGACCACCAGTCAGTTGGGTTTTGGATGGTTTTTGAATATATTAAATCTACAAATCGCTTCCTCCATTCATATTAAACATCACCACATGGTTTCGTAGGGGATGTACAGGTGCTCTTCCAGTAGACTCGTAGACCTCCTAGAATCCCAGCGCTTAGTTCAAAAGTTGTCTGTTTTCTTTCGCACAAGATCCAATTTGATGTAGTTTGATGTTGTAATTTGACGTAATTTGCAAATTTTGTATATATTGCAATGTATTCAATAGATATAGTTGTAACATGTTGAACACTATCTTTGATTTATATATATATATATTATTATTATATATATACATACAGGGAAATATGATCTTACGTATTCGCTAGAACCCAACTGAACCTTCCAGCGCACTTCAATCGGCCCTGGAGGTGCTTTTGCGGCTCAACGCCGGGAACCCCAACATGAACAGACTCACCACATTCCACCATGAATTTCTGTTTTTGTTCAAATGGATGTCAATGAATAATTGTTCATTTCGGGTTGCAGTGGGGACAACCAGCCATCATTTGCGCCCAGACTCGAGCTGTAATTTGAGGCGGATCTTGATTTGCAGAGCATGAGCCAAGAATTTCAGCGACGTGCACCGCTCAAATTCCAGGCTGAAATCCTACTGCATCAGCAGAACGTGCGGCAGTTTCTGCAGGTGGGGTCCGCTCCCTAATCCTATGGTTCATCATTGCTCCCGTTAGACTGCCATGATTTTCTGGCACGTATAGCAGCACCACTTGCGGACACACCCATGTCACCCAAAAAAACTGGGTTGATATTGATATGGGTTTATTCCCCATGTTTCATGCACAAATCGCAATTTGATGGGTTTAGAATTTCCACTTTGATGATTTTCATCGACCAGCCATCATTTCAAGATTACATAATAAATTGTCATACATAAACTCTCATAGGTTCATATCAGAGAGATCTTCATATAATGTCCCCATGATTTTTGCTGGATCTCCATCTGATATCCCCATGAATCCGCCGTCGCCAGGCGAATCGACAATTGATCCCGGAGGTCTCCTGCGAAGCGAAAGGCAAAGTTCAGACGCTGCGACTTGGCGCGGTGACTCTCTGCTGTAGAAAACCCAATTGGTTAATCGGGTTAAACATCAATAGGGATTTCATCGGATTTAACCAAACATATTATGGGATATCATGGGGATATGGATGGATATGGTATTTGTAGATAGTAATGTGGGGATACCCTCTGATAAACTATCTAAATGGTTTTAAGGCAACATGGATCACAATGGTGTATGGATTCAAGATGATATTATTTTCTCACAATAACAATTTGCACATATTGGATATTAGTAAGTATCGAATATGTAGGTAGTAACCCCAGAAAAAGGTGAAAAATACCCATGAAATCCTCAGAACTAAATTTAGATTGAAGAAAACCTTTGAGAATCGCCTCAGATTTGGAGGAATTGTCTTTTAAAAAAATGCAAGATGAGTTTGCTTTTTTGCGGATTTTTGCGCTGTAACTTTTTGAATGTATATTAATGCTGCATCGATGTCTGGCTTCCTTGGGAAGCCAGGGAGCCAGCAACGGAGCTAGGAATTGAGTTGAGAGCGACCACAGGATTCACTGGGGATTTTTTCAGTATAAATGGGGAACTAACCATGAATAAATCTATGTGTATACATGTGCACATACATCCAATTATCCGCATAATACATAATAATATATATATATACACACATGGATACGTAGACATGTGTGAGTGCTCAAGTCGTTCGTTATCACGTTGCCTACCAAAAACATCCAAAAATGCCATGTACTCGGATATGCCCGTTTCTGCACCAATCACTAATCCGTATACTGACTTATTGACATGTGATGCATACACTTTAAAAATGTGTGCATACATGTATGTATAAAATAATAATTAATAATACTATTGTTTATGATGATGTGGATGATCCATATGTATGGTTTGCAGTGATTTTGATTGAAGGAAATGAAAGTATGATTGGTTCTTTATCCAATCATAGGCGGTGAGCATTCCTGCAGCGGAGTAGGCATAATGAATCCTAAAAGGGGGATGGTTATTATCCATTACCCTTTTGGGAATACGACATAGTGACATAACTATGGAAAACTGCACCTTTAGTATCCTTTAGGTCCATGATTTACCTATTACACCCCTTGCCGTTTTCCATGGCCAGATTAGATTGTGAGAGGCTATTTTTCAGTGACCTCATTGGTCCCAGTGGTGGTTTTTCTCGGAACGACTATGAATGTCAAAACCTCTGAGAAACCAGTTCTTGGAGGGATGGATATCCATTGAATTTCAATACATACCCGGCCTGGTAAACCAACATAGCTATGGAAAATCACCATGTTTGATAGGTAAATCAACTATAAATGACCATTTTCAATGGTTATGTTAAATTGCCAGAGGGTAAATAACGATTCTTGGGGCTGAACCCCAGGGGCCCCCAAGGGTGTTGAGCCACAGGTTGCGGGACTATGCCCATGAGGCTCGCGAAGATCGCCGGGACATGTAATGTGGATGATCATCCGATACGTGGTAATCGAACATGGCAAATGATTGGAAACCAGAACTTCTTATCCAAGGCTAGTTGGATAACGTACTGAAGTTTTGGTCCATTGCCAGGTTCGATTACTGGAGAGGAAATGGTTCCGGTGGACTAAAAGAAGTTGTGGTTCCATCAGCATGTGGATCGTGGGACTTGAAAGCTGCTTGGCGCAATGATAAGTAAGGCAACCTTCAAGCCACATGGCCCATTATTATTAAACAGAATTCAGAATCCACTGTCAGAAAAATATCAGCCCAACGTATTGCATAGTCTATCTACAACAGATAAGTCTGAACAAATGCCAAGAAAGAAAGCACTTGAAGATCCCACAATTCTCCATGCAAAAATTGAAAATCCAAGAAAAACACGGAACAAATATGGAAATCCTGGATGTTTGGGTAATTCTTCCATGTGTCCCATCGTTGTTTCCAAGAAATTGGCCAGGTGCAGCTGCAGCTACACAGCCTTCATGGAGAGCTGGCTGAGGACCAAGCCAGCTGGTTGACAGCCACCTGAACTTGGATGCCATAGATGCCATAGACCCTAGACATGGTATGATATACATGATGTACATGTATATATCTCTCATAAGACAAGATACTAAATGGGTATGTATGTGCACATATATGCACACCGAACATGGCGAATGGGAAAGTCCACAAGACAAAATCGGCTGAGCTTTTAAGAATGGTGCCCACCTGGTTTAACTATGTTTAACTAACGACCAGCCATGTTAGTTGGGTATCTCCCCATCCTTCAGCCATCCATGGATATCCATGGCTGGTCGATCCCCCAGGAAGTTGCCACAACCTTGAGCCAATCCGGGCTTTTGGCACCTCGCTGACGACGGATGGCGCGGAAGTTGACACGCCAACTACACCCAGGAAGTTGACATTCACAAAAACCAGATAAAACGAGAACCTTTCCCTAGGCATTAAGGGAAAATCATGGAAAATCACCATTTGAAACACGTGATCATTTGCATATGAAATAATTTCCTTAGGTTGGTACCTCAACTAATGGTTAACTGGTGGGGCTGGTGGTTTGGAATCCCCCAAAATTCCCCTACGCCCTTTCCGCAATTCCACAAACCCAAATCACCAGCCGAAAATGGAAAATACTTTTAGTTCATATTTGTTTTATCGATGTTTTCCCATGGTTTTCCCACGGGTTTCCCATGTTTTTCCCATGAAAGCATAGCTGTTCCGGTTTTTTAACCCAGCCACCGAGGCTCCACTGCTCCAGCGACAAGTTCTGGCAATTCCAGTGTGTCCAAAGGTAGCGACCGGATACATTTAGACTGAAAAACATACCTATCATGTGTTGATATGTCTTGAAAAACCATTAAAAACCATGAAGCACATGTGTATGTATATCTATATTTATACATCAGTTCTATGCATTGCATTTCCTTTACAACAAAAACAGTCCAGATCACAACGGGTCGCCGTGTTCCAGGCGCGGGTCTTGAAGATGGCGGCGCTGTATGATCTAGAGATGACCTTCCAGGTACCCGCTGGAAAAACGGTGGGAAGAAATCCGAATCACCAGTTCATAGATGGTAAACATCCCATTATAATCCCATTATTTACAGTGATGTGTGTAAAGAATTGTAAAGATGATATAGATGATAGATGATAAAGAAAAAATGATGACAGATGATATAGATGATATCGATAGATGATGCAGATAGATGATATACATAATATAAATGACCATCTAACGTACCTGACACACATTGTGCATAATATAGATAGAACCATCATATTTTAGTGCGTAGACATCCGCGTGTAAGTGTATCATATGTCACGCAAAAAATATGGTGCAACGGAGAATCGATTCGTCTCCATTGCCGCAATGACGAATCGATTTTCGCCACAGGTCTTAGAGCAAGAGATTTTTGAACCTGCACGGCAGATGTTACTCCAGGCGATTAGCGCAACTGGGCGTGGCGTTTTGGGTCCAACTGGAAATATCTTCAGTGCAGCGGTTGGACTTGGACTTGGTTGTCATTGTTCGGAAATGGAGAAAATGTCTCAAATTGCATCACTAAAACTCTTCCAATCGGATGTTGAGAGCATTTGCCAGACAACATGGAACCGCAGGTTGATCTTCCCTTCGCCAAACAACCAATGTGATGGGTTTCCATGCTCTCTTTCATACGCATACTGCAACCGTTGTACTCATGGCCGATGCATCGGAGATTGTTTTCAGGCGAATGCCTCCACACAGTGCCTCGGCTTTCATGTTTGGCTGTCTCACTCGTTCTTAGATGAGCAGCAGTCAAAAAGAATCTGTTGTATGGAGAGCTTTGCAACATCATCTAGAGGGGATTTATCACTTAACTGGTTGCAGCAAAAGAATGCAAAAGATAGATAGACAGAAGACTAGTGAATATTACAGTATATACACTTAATATAGTGGTGCTCAATGTCCAGTAGTTTTTTTAGAGCGAGTAAACACAAATGTTGTAAACCCAATAATCCATCCCCAAAATCACCATATATATATATATATATGGGATACTATAAGCTGTTCCCAAATGGTAGGTTTATATCGGTTTATGGCATTGGCTTTCCCACATTCGTTGGCCATGTTTTGCCTTGACACGGCGCAAGACGCCCAGCGAAGGGATGGAGAAGTTCTTCGTCTTGGATGGCTAGATTGATATGGATATTTTTTATGCATACATGTAAATATATATATATATATGTTTGTGTGTTATGTATGTATAATTATTTATATGTATATATACATACATACATACATACATACATACGTACATACATACATGTGTGCGTGCCCTCCACTAATCAAACATTGCAATGTAGAATCCCTGAACTGAATGGAGGACTAAATGAAGTAGTATGTATATATTTATTTATTTATTTATTTACCGGCGACAAAAAAACGTTTGCAGGACATATAATATAAGCTTTCACAAGACTTCACCAAAAAAATGCCTAACGCGTTACGGAGGACCGAGCCACCTGAACGATACCTGGCCTCACTGAGGTGTTTGGATGAGGTGACCGAGCGAATCCAGAAGGCGGGTCACTTTGGAACGGGAGACCATTTGGGACTAAGATATTTCATTGAAAAAATGGATATGTATATGTAGATATACATATATAGATAGATAGATAGATAGATAGATAGACAGATCTATAGTTATCTAGATATAGATATAGATATATGTATTTCTATACATATATACACTTTTACATGTACTGAACATAAATATGTAGATATATGTAATGTATGTATGGTATGGTATGGTATGGTATGGTATGGTATGGTATGGTATGGATGTATATATGTATGTAATTAACGTATGAATGTAATTAACGTATATATGTAATTAACGTATGTATGTAATTAACGTATGTATGTATGTAATGTAATGCAATGCAATGCAATGCAATGCAATGCAATGCAATGCATGTATGTATGTATGTATGTGTTTGTGGATCATCTGAAAAGATGTAAAACTTCTAACTTGCTTGATGAATTTGCTACGATGGTTTTCTTTTCTTGACGTCGGTAGCTTTTTCGGTTTTCACTTATTGTTCAAATAGCAGCAGGGGGGCACAGAAGGCCCATAGAGCTGTGCCCAACGAAGCTCTCTATGGCGTCCTTAGGATATCCAGGCTGATCACCTGGACGTACCTGCACTCGTTTTGAATCATTCTGACTGTCATGGGACGTGGCTAACCCAAGAACCACCACGCCGTTTTCAAACAACCTGATTTCCAATTTCTCGTTTTACACGGTTTTCGCAATCTGAATCACAAATGTCACTAGAGGATGAACGCGCTGCATCAGAACCAGTTAATCCTTCGAGCAAGGACGTAGAAAGATTTCCTTCGCACTGTTTCTCTTTTCCAATCATCAAAACCGTTCCTGTCAGGTTTACTGAGGTGTTTTTGCACGTATGATGCATTCCACCTCAGTAATTCGATAAGATATTTCTGAGCAAGTGTGTTCTTCATACCGATAGTCGTCAAGGTGGTATGAACCCTTCGGGGAAAGCCTTTCCAGGCTAACAATTGGCGGTAAAACGATGTCTGAATTTACACTTTTGAATTAGTAATTCGTCTAAGTAATGTGAACTGCCGGCCTTTTTTCGATTCTCACCTGTCGAAGTCGTTTGGTTGAACAACTGGCCGCCGTGTGGCTTCAATTCTTTCAGTGGATTTCTCACTGCATAGCCTGAAGCCACGTCAACAACCTTCCTGTTGCTTCAAGAGACTGCCCGCAGCCATTTTGACATGGAACTTCAGGCAAGAGGACATGCTTTCCAGGTTTGGTCACTTTCTTTTTGGTTACTTTGGTGAGGTTCAATTGTGCACTTAATTCAAGGGTTGAACACGTCAGCTGTCCAGAGGGTTTTGACTTAAATACCGAGGGCCTTTGAGCCTGATCACGATCCTTGCATGAATTGTGGATGCATCTTTTCATTAACTAGTTCCCCATGGGTCCCTTATTTCATGTGTTCCTGCGTTCTCCTCTCTCCAGGTAGGTTGGGTTCTGCGCGTGCTGAGGTAGGCGTAGGTTTCGCTGTAGTAGGTTGGTTCAGGCACGTCCGTCCTCCCCCCCCTCCGCTGGTCTTTTTCCGTTTCCATCTGCCTCCGCTTTTCTTTTTCCTTGCCTTTTCAGGGTTTGCCCGTGGTGGGCCAGGTTTCCTTGTGTTGGTGTTTTCTCTTTCCCTCTGCGTTGCGTTCCCCTCTTCGCGTCCTGGTTAACTAACTTTCATCCCATTTTCATCTTCACCTCATCTTCATTTCCCTTCAATTTCATTTTCATTTCACTGTCCGGACCTTAATTTTTCACCCTCCTGCGGGAGGGTGTGTGTGTGGATCATCTGAAAAGATGTAAGACTTCTAACTTGCTTGATGAATTTGCTACGATGGTTTTCTTTTTTTGACGTCGGTAGCTTTTTCGGTTTTCACTTATTGTTCAAATAGCAGCAGGGGGGCACAGAAGGCCCATAGAGCTGTGCCCAACGAAGCTCTCTATGGCGTCCTTAGGATATCCAGGCTGATCACCTGGACGTACCTGCACTCGTTTTGAATCATTCTGACTGTCATGGGACGTGGCTAACCCAAGAACCACCACGCCGTTTTCAAACAACCTGATTTCCAATTTCTCGTTTTACACGGTTTTCGCAATCTGAATCACAAATGTCACTAGAGGATGAACGCGCTGCATCAGAACCAGTTAATCCTGCGAGCAAGGACGTAGAAAGATTTCCTTCGCACTGTTTCTCTTTTCCAATCATCAAAACCGTTCCTGTCAGGTTTGCTGGGGTGTTTTTGCACGTATGATGCGTTTCACATCAGTAATTCGATAAGATATTTCTGAGCAAGTGTGTATGTATGTATGTATGTATGTATGTATGTGTGTGTGTTATGCATATCCCCATTTCCATTTCAGGATGGTTAAGCTATGGTAAACCCGTTTGATTGTTAAACTGCCATTGGTGTCTTCAGGGGACGGGATAAAACTGCGCGGCTCGCGCAGGAGCTCCAAAGCTATACTGATGGAGGCGGCTCAACCAACGGAAAACACACAAAGACTCAGCCACAGATGGACAGGTTGGCAAAGCCACCATAATAACTTGTCGTTTCTTCAAGCAATGCTATGAAAGTCCTGAAAATTAGTGCATTGCAAGTGTTCTGCTTGAGCACTAGATGATTTGTCTACGCTTTGAGGTAGGATTTAGAATGCATGAACTCCCTATATAATTCTATATATTTCTATTTTGGCAGTAACAAGGGATCAGTTTCCTGCACGTGCTCCCTGAAACCCACATTCGATGTCCGTTGGGCAAAGGCTGACGGGCTCACGCTGAATGACTCCGCAACGTTTTTTAGATGGCTCACAGCCAGATAAGTATCCAGGCGCAGCGGTGTAGCGACAGGATGCGACAGGGACAAGCTGGGATTCACCTAAAGCTCCGTGGCCACTGTGTGATGTGCCGTGACACGCCCAAAGAGAGGAAGGATGCCAAGTTGATGGTTGAAGGTAGTTCGTTTGTTGAAAATATTATTTTCAACAATAATAATGCGTGGATCAAAATCTACGATTGTTTAAGCTATGTTCGTTTATGCCAGGCGCCAAAGCGTCTCACACACGTGCAGGACACCTGCATGAGACGCGTGGTAGTAGAAAAATGTTCGTTTATGTGTGTATATATATATATATATACATATACGTGTGTGTGTGCATTTATGTATTTGTTTATTTAGTTATTCACATATGCGATCTCTATATATATATACCTATTTGGATACGCGTGCACATACGTTTATAGATTTATACCTATACATATATACATATGATCACATATGTATATATATATAGATAGATAGATAGATTGATTGATAAATAGATAGATAGATTGATTGATAGATAGATAGATGTGTATGTGTATGTGTGTGTGTTTAAAAACTTTACATGCATGCCAAGTGCCAAGGAGGCATGAACATCTAAGACCAACATATTTGTTCAATAATCACTGGGGCACCAGGTTTTTGATCCACCGTAATATTTCTGATTTCCAGCTGTGCGTGACATATCCCCAATGAAATACATGATCATACATGATCAGGGGTTTGAAACATCTTGCGACCACGAGCGTTTGCAAAATGTTGTAAAAGTACCACCCATGCAAAGCCCTCCAAAACGCAATTGATAAAGGAACTTGGGCGCCAGAATGATGCTGATCCTCAATAACCCATTTCTTGGCAGGATTAAGATACATCCCAGTGCTGTACTGCTCAATTTTCAGACCAGACCGGGTACGTCCCAAAAAGAAGGTGTCATGTTCAACAGTCGAGGATCCATGAGGCTTATCCTTCCCTGGTGTGCGGGGTGCATTGCGCAAGAGGCAACACCCACCTTCGAACTGGAGAACTGATGCCAGAACCAGGAGCTCCAACATTCATGGAGTTCCCCGCAAGTTTCTTGAAGGGTTCCATGTTGAATCCCTGTGGGACTGGATGATATTGAGAATTCAATGCCCAAGAATTGCTTCGGCTACAATTGTTTTTTATGCCTGGGCATGCCTGGGCTACATTGAGCTACGTGCCCACCGATGTCCATCTTGGCTTGCCAGAGGAGCCAGATATATATATATATATACTCTTTAAACCGTGATGGCGAGCATAAACCCTCCTTTGTTCAATCCGAAAGTCATCTACATATTTGGGTTGTGGATTGAATACGGATTAATTGTTTCTGTGTGATTCTTTCAGGTCATAAAAAGAAGAATAATATATATCTATATAGATAGATAATGATTATGTTATTTCCGGACGTAGATTTGGATACAAAGTATGTTTGAACACCTAACAGTCCTCTTATAACTCGAGTAAAGATGGGTGCTGTCGCCGCTGGGCTGCACTTAGGCCCATCTCTTGAACCTGGCAGTTGCCGGAAGAGCTTCAGCGGCTCAAAAAAAATCCGTGAAGAATGAAGGTGAACCAAGAAAAATGGTGGCGTGACCAACAAAAATCCTAAACAGGAAAGATGAAAAAATTGTAAAAATTGTTTGGAAACTTGTTGAAAGTTGGCGTCGCCGCCGCCTCAAACTTCCTGAGCCTGCGCAACACCGGTCGCCGCTTTCAGAAAAGGCCAGGTTGCACAGCGCTCGCCCAGTGAGCCGACTGCTTGAAGATTTGAGCATGTGTTGGATATGTATAAATCATTAAGATATAAAGGTGTCCTTATGAATCCTTATGACTAGAATGATTTTTGTCACAATGAATCTGAAGAGAGAAGTGATTTCCAATGGATTGGAACAACTATAGTACTATGATACGCATATCCCATCTCTTCCATGGAAAATACGCCTGTTTTAACTTCGGGCTCGCAGCTCTGCTTACTGAACCGGGGAAAAAGCCATGGGGCATGGAATCTCAGTTGGATGATGGCGTGGTGGGATGATGGGCATCCCTACATGGAGATCTATCGGATGAGAACTGGGTGGATACTTATGGATACCCTCTGGAAATTTAACATAACTATGGGAAATCACCATTTATAGTGAAATTTCCCATGAACAATGGTGATTTTCCATAGTTATGTTAAATTACCAGAGGGTACTTTATGTTTACTTCAGGATGGATTTGCCCTTTGTTTACTTCAGGATGGCTTTGGTATAGTAGAAAACCATTCGTGTTTATATGTTAGTACCCTGGCTATTTCTGGCTGGTTGGATTCACAAGTTGGAGAGAGGAGCAGGAGTAAAGTGAACCAAAGAAGCTCGGTGATAAACAAACAAATGAATAGATACATAGATATTATATATATATAGCAGCTATTAGCCGTATATGACTAGCACAGAAACCCCGTCAAATAGAAGTGGTTGGAAGACTACGCTGCAATCCTCTTCCAATGGATCTCACTGTTACGGGCCGGGGTATGGTAAATTCCCCAAAATTATTTGGTTTGGTTGTCCACCCTCTGGTAAACGTTTACAGAACTATGGAAATTCACCATTTGTTTCATGATGTTTCATGGGTAAATCAACGAACTACAGTTTGCCATTTTCAATAGCAAACTGTTAGTTTACCAGAGGGTAAATCCTTATTCAATATCTAGTCTGGTACTGCTGAGGTTGAGGCCCCTGGCGCTGTTTTGACCTCGGCACAGGAGTTTGCAGTTGATATTCGTTGATGTATCGAAAGTATGTTATGAATTTGGTTGGTAGAAGGGGATGGTTGATATGTTTATTTATTTGTAAATGCTTATATACATATATATATAGCTTATTTAATATTATTGGTGACTCTATCATATTTATTTATTTTCTTGATTTATTGTCTTGCTTCAGGTATACATATACATATGCATCCACATCTACACATACATATAAATTTACATGTATACATACACACATGTACAAGCTTAATGCTTCATAAATATATGCATGGCGTGTATATTTGTATTGACATGTATATATATATATATACACATGTGCTGTATATATATATACACATGTGTGTGTCATGTGTGTGCGTGCTGGTTTGTTAAGGATCTCGAAACGACTTATCGGGCCTTCTTACTCCTGAAGTTGCAACAGCTTGATAGTTTTACAATGTCGATCGGGATGCTACCAACAACGTGAGATGGAAATAAGTGAGAAATTCGTCCCACTTGGGGGTTGTTTGCACTCTGAAACCGTTGATCTGAACAGGGGGGTTAATACCTATATCCTATATCTCATCCACAATCACCAGCTACTTTGGTGTGAAAGTCAGGGTACGCCGGTTTTGACCAAAGTTTTTTAATCATCGCCAAGCTCCCTGCCCTGTTCATTTGGCTCAGGTTGATTTTCAGCTCCTGCGTGCTCCACTATGTCAAGGTGCCAAGCTCCTGGATGCCACGATATAAGCAGTTTCAACTTTTAAACTAGCCATTTTTACGAACCAATTCCCTACAAGCATCCAGGACTTACCTATTCGCTTTAAACCTCTGTGAGCTTTCCTCGACTGGGAAATTTCATGCATTCTACGGTTTAAAAGATTACCTTTTTGCTTCACCTAAGGTCGCCATTGCACCAGTGCAAAGTTCCCCTTTTTTGTTTAATGATATTGAATAATGATATCAAATTCGTCGCCTTTTCCTTACTTTGGCAGGATTGCAGGTTAGATCTTCGGCTGTGTTGCGGGAGAACTTTGTGGCAAACATGTTTTGTGTTCCAAGCCAATGTGGGTTTCACCCAATGCCATAAACCATCCCCAAAATCACAGCTTTTATATGCGTTTATAACTTTTATTGTGGGCATTTCACCACATTTCACCCCCCAAATGGTAGGGTTTTGGCCCGAGGCTGAGCGGCTGAATGTTGTGCTGGACGAAGAAGATGCGTTTCTCGGGGGATTCTCTGGCTGTGGGTCCCACTTTCTGGATATTGATGATGGTCCCAGGTGAATTGTTCATTACGGAGAATGTATTATTGTATTAGGGCATATTAGGCACTATGTACTCTGATACTCTGATTACGAGATTGTTATATACCATTTGGTATGCGATATTTGAGGTGTGCTGCAGCGACCACCTGGCCATTCATGGGACATGCGCTAGATCAATGTAAGATGCAAGTCGGTAGGAATAGGGAAATGATGCTGGTGCAACCAGGAAAATGTAGGGAAATGCGACATTTGCGGTTTCAATATACACATCCAGATATTGAGCTCCTTATTGTGTATATGGACTTATGACTTATGATGATAAGAATAAAATTAGCAACAACACTAACAACAATAACAACAATAGGAATATAAATGGAATATAAATAAAAATAATTTTGAAAAATGCAAGTCCAATAATAACAATAATGTTTGATATGTTTCACATTTGCTGTATCTATATATATATATATTTATTTATTCACCTCAATAGTATAAATAGATGATTTGTATGATATAAATATATATATATACACATGTGTGTGTGACATTGACAATGATAATGCCAACAATAGATATGAAACTATTTGGCACCGTCGGCCCCATCGGATCAGGTCCTACGTGGTATTTCTGCAAACACGTTTGCACGGCGAGGGCCGTGACAAGTCAAGGATGCTTGGCGATTCAAGCAGCCAAAACTCGAGAAAACGGAGATTTATTGAAATATTCATGGATATTAAAGGGTAAGAATGGTACATGATTAATAGATATGTATATATATATATATAGTTATATCGTTATATAAGTATATAATTATATAATTATATATTAGCAGGATATAACCAACCACATGGTACAGAACGTGCTTTTGCACTTTACTGGGGGCGTACTGGGATTTAGATATTGGAATTGGTTTGAAATTGGAGGACACAAAACCAACCAATGTGATATTTGGGTGTGTCTGGAGATGGGTATATCCCCTAATTCATTGTTGTAATTTCAATAGAGAAAAGTGATGGCTAACCAGTGGATTTAGGGCACTATATTGGCTGCGCCCGAAAAGTACCTAGAATTGTCTAGAATCTAGCACAGGTAGTGTCCAAGCATAAATTCAAATTTCCTTAAATTTATCTCTTTGGGCTCGGGCCAAGGTGGTAACATTGCATCTTGACTTTAAGTTTTGGCGGCCTGTTGAATTTCAATGGGGCAACGCCGCAAGACGATGTCATGTTTGTCTTGCCTGCATGTTTAGTGGTCACATACACATATGTTTCTTAGTCGTTTATCTGTGATGGCATGAAATGAAGAAGAAAAGAAAATGCGGACCTCACGGGGTAAATTGCATGCGGCCGACGGATGCACCCCCATTGCAAAGCCAAGGGCTGCCAGCAATGTGAGCAAAGTGGGCAGCAACCACACGCAGGCCGCAGGGTTTCGGGATAAACCTGCTTACCCATTTGGATGTGTTTGATGACTTTTTGAGACTGCTGGAAGTTCCCCAAAGAAGAGTTCCCAGCATTTCTCTCATGTTTTGTGTACAATTTTTGTGGGCTGATAGGGCTCCGTAAGTTTGGAAACCCCCGGGAACTCCTGCCGGAGATGGGTCCTGCCAGAGTCAGGAGCACAAAGTCAACTTGACCAAGGTCAATAGCACAGAGAAGAAACTCGGTGGGGATATGCCCAGCAGCAATGGCATTGCCCTTTGGACCCCTTTTTTGGTAAATAGCTTCAGAAGTTCAAATCCACCATTTTTAGATGGTTTTCTCAGTGAAAGTCTGGGTGTTCCAGATCCAGGTTCCTTTTCATATCCACACAAGACATGAGAGACATGAGGGAGATGCGATGATGTCATGAATATTATATATATATATACCTGGTTGATGGTTTGAAACATGTTTTATTTTCTATAATATATGGGATAATCCTTCCCATTGACTAATATTTTTCAGAGGGGTTCAAACCACCAACCAGATACATAAAGCCAAGGGAACATAAAAGAGAGACTGATTGCAGGTGAACCCACGGGCAACGCGGCAACGCTTAAAGCTGTCTCCCCAAACCGCTACGATTGGGATGGAAGCCGCTGAAAAGCCCCAGATCATCCTTGATAGTTTTAGCGCACTGGTGGCCACGAAAGAGTTGTATGGGGATTAGGACCATTCATACACCCGGTAACCCCATAAGAGAGTGGAAAGAGTGGAAAGCACATGTTTTCCAATTGCTACAAGTTGCTAACCATAATTAATCACCGTTAATTATCCCAGTACAGTTCCATGTCGTTCCCTTGGACCTAAGGAACCACTCCAGCGTCAACCGCACAAGCCTGTCGCAACAATCCGCATCAACAAAGGCTGGGAGAAGGGAGGCCATAGGGACGCCATGTGCTGAGTCGAGTTTGAAGAAAATTGGGTGTTAGGTCTATTTTAATGAATCCTTTGAGTGGTGACCAACTTAAGCCAACTGACCCTTGCACAAAATGGTTGATCCTGAATTGATGATTTCGCACAAGACCCTTTCCAAAAGCGTAGGCTACATGGCATTTGAGATTTGGGAGTGTTTGGAGCCAGGGGCGGTCCAGACTTGAGATATGCCATTCTATATATTTCACACTATCGTTATATCAGTCATATCAAGAGGATTCAGGAAGTACCGAGCCTTCAAACATCTTAAGACGCCCACTTCCAGTTCCGAACTGGCCCGACCAGGATGAGCCGTTTTTTAAACACATCCCGTTAGAGTCCGATGACTATGGCGTCATAGTACACTAACTAAATAACCATTGGTTATATGTAAAATGGTGTAGCATCATATGTTTATTTCGGAAACGTATTCACCCCATGCTTGATCAGCAATTTCACTGTCAAAATCGCAATAGAGTGAGTGGAGTAAATCCCCATTTTCAGATACACCCAAGCATCGTATTGTTGGTTGCCTGTATATGTATGTATGCACATGTATACATATATATGTATATGTGTGTGTGTGCGTGTGTCAATTTATTTATTTACGGATTTATTTTTACGTATACTTTATTTGTATTTATATCCACATGATATTCCGTTATCAGATTACACTCCCATGACATGGCAAGTATCCCCCTTTTTTGAAACCAATTGCGCTGACCGGGCCACTGGTGCATGGCCAGTCGGCGCCTGCTTTCGGCGACTACGTGAAGGTGGCGGCCGTAAGCAGGGGAATCCTGATCAACAAGGGGATGCCTTTGGTAATTTAACGCAATGGAAGCCATGGCCCTATGAAAAATTGTGATTATGTTAAATTACCAGAGGGGTAGACTAACGAGTTAGATCGAGTTAGTTTAGATTTGGGGACATCAAAGGAATATTGACATATGATCAATGGGGATATTCTATGGGATTCCCCATTTTATTTAGAACCAACTTGATATGATAGTTGGGTCTGTTTGATCATCGGATGCAGCACCAAATTGCATTGTTTTCTGAGGAAAACATGATAAAACCATCAAATTTAGGGAGTGCCGGTGAGCCAAATGTGCATGTTTGGTGGTTAAGTCACCATGCAGTGTGCGATTGCATGTTTGATAATCAAACCCTCATGTTTGCGGATTTTTATCCTTTGTTTGATGGTTAAACCACCACATACCTTCCCTACATTCCCACGTTTCATGGTTCAAATCCCAAGTCCAATTTTTCGCTAGTTAAATTACGTGAAATCACTGGGTTTGCTGGTTTGATCCCCAGATTTTGTGATTAACCGGTATTGAACCATGTCTTGTCATTGGATTTGTTCAGTTTAGGAAGTTACATGAACATCCCTTAAATCCCTAGGTTTGCTGGTTTTACCCCTACTCTTGGATGTGGAAAGCGGTTCTGTTTGCAATTGAACGGTTCATTTCCATGCGGGAAAGCAATTGGGGTAAGGCGGTACTTTTTGCGTTTAGCTTGGGTTTGGCATGACAGCTTGAAAGTGGCAGGTTTAAATCTTGCAGCAACTTCCATGGGTATACCAATGGAAACTATTGTATATAGATGCTGTCCTGGCAGCCACTTCTGCCATGATTTTTAAAACTTATATTTGATCATTCTTTCAAGGGGGCACACGCTGGTTGCTGCTTGCTTGCTGCTTGCTTGCTGCTTGTGGCTGATGCTTGCTGCTTGCTGCTGCTTGCTGCTGCTTGCTGCTTGCTGCTGCTTGCTGCTGCTGCTTGCTGCTGCTGCTTCTTGCCTGTTTCTTGCCTGCTTCTTGCCTGCTTCTTGCCTGCTGCTTGCCTGCTGCTTGCCACCACAGTTTTTGATATGCAACCCTTCTGTCCAAACCTGACTTGTGAATCCGGAGTTCCAGTATGAATTGAAACACACTGCGCATGAGATTCTGGCAGGAGTAGTCTTGAGAAGCGGAGTTCACATGGGGATTTGCTCGCGTGGTTTGGGCAGGTCTGAAGCATCAGTAAAAGAGAAGTGGCTGTCCGCTGAGAAATACAATCGTGCTTTGCGATATGTGAAGAAGTGAAAAGGATCCTGTAGCAGATTCTGGGAAGTGTGGTGCAGATTTAGATATCCAGTAGTAGCGATTTTATGCAGGAAAGCCTATGAAGACATAGACTTAGCAGAATTATTCCATTAGCGTTCCAGTAGGAACCAACTTCTCCAGTAACACTTTGATGTAGATATTTGGCCCCAGCGCTGAAGCGTTACCAAGAGGATTTCTGATCCAGGTCCCGCCTTTTCTGACTTAGACGTAACCGGTGCGCTCCATGCAGTTGTACCAGCCCCGCGGTCCTGACTTCAACGTTTGCCTGTATATGTTTTGCCTGAACTTTCCATGCTAACAATATCTAGCCATAATCGTAGTGTATCTATTATTGAACCACCATTTAACCATAGTTAACAACATATAACATCATATAACCATATTTCACCAGGACTAAAGAATAGATAACATCATATAACATCGTTTTGAATGAAACTAGTTGGAAAACGCTAGCCGCTTCACCATGAACAGCCAGGCCTTTGCCGCCTTAGCGGCTGAAACCACCGCCTCTGTGGGCGACGCCATGGGAGGCGGGTGGAGAAGTCATGAAAAATCTCCTAGCTTAGGGAACAACTTGGGGGTTTAAGATGGTTTGAATATGTTTGAATCATGAATGTGGTTCTTTGACCTGTTTGAAATATGGAGATTTGTGAGAGATGTTTCATGGTTTCAGCAGCACATATGGGTAAATTTGTCGCTTTAACCAAGAGAAATCCGAGATTCGAACCGGAGTTTGGGCTACTCAGCCATGACATTCATGTTATTGACCCATCAGTTGGGGTTAGTCAGGCCCCGGCAGCTACCTGCTAACTGTTTGGTGAATTTAACGATGCATTTGTACCGAAACCAACTGGTTCCTCAAAGCCACTCAAACATATGGGTTTATCCGAAAGTATGGTAGACAGAACACCGATAATCATCATTTTCTTTTTGAAATGACCATTTTTGGGGTATACACCATTTTCAGACACACCCATTGGCAGATGTTCACCCACTTTCATGTCCATGGTTGTATACTGTGATGCTTTGGACTTCTAAATGCCCTGGTCCTGTGCTAGCCCTGGTCCATTTAGATGATTTACCGACCATTAAAAAATGTTGCGCTTCTGGTTAACGGTGAAGTTACTGGGCATCTAGATTCAAAGGAGGTTTCCCAATGTACCCATTATATATATATCCCATGATATTCCTATTGTGTCCTATTGTATTCCCATTACCTGATAAAATCCGAGTTATTTCCAGTGAAACCATAGGCTCCACGAGCGTTTCTGGTCAGGTGGTGCTTCCAACGGTGAGACCCAGGAGATGGGAGCAGTCATTGGCTGAAAATTGAACCATGTGGTTGGAATTGTACCGGTTATATACCACCAAAGAATTACATGATGGTATATTTTGGTAGAATTTTTCAGTTTGAAATTACCAAATCAAATATGAATGGTATAAAGATCCTAATTGACTTGTGCATATTTGAAATGGGAATTCACCAAGCAGCCGCGCACCAGGATGCAATCATTCATGGCCACACTATTTCGGTCGCCGGGATGGCCCCCTTGTTGATACCCAAGCCCAACTCTTGAGCCATCCCCGTTCGGCAGTTCCTGTAACTTGGAATTGTGGCCTCCATATTAAAATTTACATTGCATCCTCTTAGGTTGCAACCCATTGCAATCCCAATTTTTTATCATTTGAAAAAAACTATTTTAAAAAAATACGGTTTCAGATATCTTCAAATTCTCATCCTCCAACTGCTGGTCATCATGAAATATCCACCTTTCAGTCCGGCCTGTTTGTACATGCGCAGTCTCCAACTCCAAGATTGAATCCAATGAGTCTATAGAATGGCGAGTTTTGGTGACTCGGTCGCCTCTAAGACTCGTGGCGTTGTGGACTTCGAACACTGAAGATGTACAACACCTGAGGACGAAGCAGTTGGGACATCAGCTGCGGTTGGTGCTACCATTGGAGTTGTTGTCAGATACTCGGTGGCTGCTTCGGACCACAATTGTCGATCAGACATGAGGTTGATGTCTAGCTCAGCCGCTCTCGGCCTTTTTTTTGATTTGAGGTTGGCGCAACTGTTGGAGTCTAAATTGAAATTAAATTGGGAAAATGAGAATCAAAATATTGGAAGAATATGGAACAATCAATTTAAATTCATTGAAATTGAATATATTATAATATATCTATTTATGTAGAATATTTTTGGGGAACAATTTTATATAAAAATATGATATAAAAATAAATATATATATATACAAATAAATGATTATGAAATTATTTTTAGATTAAAATATGTTTATAATGGATTAAATAGATATTATTGTTTTGAATATAAAATGTAAATTTATCGAAGGAAGTTTAGAAGTCAAACTTCCGACAATATGGAAAGATGAAAAGCAGAGCAGGGAAGAGGCAGAGAGAAGAGAAAGATTAGAAGAAAGAAGAGTAGAAGAGAAAGAGTAAGAAGAAAGAAGATGCAGATGCACGAAAGGATAGGAAAATCGCGAAACACTGTGTTTTTCCAATGATTTGGGGCTCCGGAGGGTCGAAAAGTAGGCTCGCTAAAGCGGCGGGTGCGGAGCCATCTGGCCAGAGGAGAGATTAAAAGTTGCACGTCGTTGTGGCGCGAAGTACATTTGGAAATCAAAATGTATAAAACACACCATTCTCGGACCACTTGGAAGTTGAGATGTCCAAAAAGTGCACGCCGTAGTGGCGCGAAGCACATTTCTAAGTCAAAATGTACAAAACACACCATGCTCGGACTACTTTTGGAAATTGAGATGTCGAAAAAGTGCACACCTCTGTGGCGCGAAGCACATTTCGAAGTTAAAATGTGCAAAACACACTAGGTCCCATTATACTACACTACATTACACTACACTACTTTCCACTACACTTCACTACATTACGCTATACTCCACTACACTACAACTACAACTACGACTACACAACTACACTCCACTAGCAAAATTACACTACATTACACTACACTACACTACATTCCACTACACTCCACTACACTACACTACATTACACTACACTACAATACACTGAATGACACTGCACTACAGATAGACAGGTAGACAGATAGACAGATAGATAGATAGATAGACAGGTAGACAGCTAGACAAATAGATAGATGAAAGAGAGAGATAGATAGATAAATAGATAATTAGGTAGATAGATAGATAGGAAGATAGGTAATTAGATAAAAAAGAAAAAGATAGATAAATAGATACATAGATAGATAGGTAGATATATAGAAGATAGGCTGGTAGGTAAGTAAATAATCGGAGAACAAAAAAATTAAAGAGGAGAATTTAAGCACCTTTCGAACCATTAGTGGATTTATTTTGCCATCCCTGATTTATAACAACTAATCTCTCCTATAGATTTCCTATTTTTGAAATTTTCGCTACCGCTTTGTGCGGTATTATTGGTATTGGAATATTGAAAAATATAAATTTTAAACATATATAAATCTATTAAATATTATTGAATTAAAAATATATATATATATATATAAATATTAATTATTATATAATTTATAATTAATAAAATTATGTCTTGTATTACTTGCACTTTTTAAGTTATTGATTGCAAGCTTTTTGGGGGTTCAAACTTACTTATGCATTTGTGGGGTGCCGCTGACCTTATCCGCGAGTTTCGATACTTCTGGCCTGCTGGAGATTGCACCGGGTTGGGGCTGGGAACCACATTACTTCTGGTTTTGGTTAACTGGATATCTGGTTTGATTATTGGAGTGTTTTTGGCTGCTGTGTGCTTTTCCTAGAGCTGCAGAAAGATCCTCCTGTTCCTCCTTTAGAGTTGTATTAACGTGTTGGCTCCTTCTGCTCCAGGAACCTTCAGTCGCGCAGTGCAGCTCCGAAGCAGGCTGAGTGAGTACAAGCACTCGTGAATGAGTGACCGACAGGTGGAAGAGCTCACTTTGAAGATCGGTGAGCTTGAGATCTCGGTGAGACGCCGAAGCAACACCTCTTCTGAAGAGGTCACAGCCAGTTCTTCCCTTGCTGGCCCTCGGGCCGCTGCCGCAGTTCCTGCTGCAGCTGAGGAGCGGCGTGAGGCCTCTCCTACAGTCTCCAGTGCTTGGAGCGTTGTTGACGGACCTCGAGCTTGGTCCCCGGAGTGGAAGAGGGCTTTGCTGGAGGCTTCAACCGCGTCGGAGATTCTGGCGGTGGACCTTCAGTGTGTGGAACACCTCCAGCGATACCTTTCAGCTGAGGTCACAGGTTGGACTTCGCTTGCTAGACTGGGGCGAGCGCTCCGTGCCGGACTAGCAGCTCGGAACAAGCTGGACGGGGCGGGCACCTTTGAGCGCTCTCCCGACATCGGTTTGAGTAACAGGATCTACGTGGTTTTGCGGGGTGCTCCTGGTGCGGCTGGTGCGGAGCCTTGTATTTACCATAGTGCCCGGGTTTACTACCAAACGGTCCGGCTGCCTGGAGCAAACCAGTTCCACCCCAGAAATGTCTCGCACGCATTCCCATCGCGTGTGGAGGCAGAAGCCTACGTGCTGGGAGCTCAGGCGCTATGGCCGCCGGAGCGGGAGGACTAGCCCAAGCCGATGTGGAGGCCCGTGTAGCAGAAGTACGGGCGAAAGGGCTGATCCCAGCCTTGCAGTTTTCCGCCATTGCAGAGGATGGCACAATTTTGTGGAAATCTCAGGCCTATGTTGTCCGGTACAGAGCCGGCGATTTCATGTTTTTGGTGCCCGGCGAGGCCGAGGTGGTGGAGTTCTTCGAGATAGCCGGACCCTTCGACTTCTACGCTTATCACCAGACTACAGTTCAGGTGGAGACAGCTCGTGGCCGGGCATTAGGGTCGGTGGATGCCGTGTTGGTCGACTGTCCCTGGGCGGCCCTGCCGTTTTTCCGGAAGATGACCGCTTTGGCAATGATGAAGTTTGTTTACGACGGGGTGACCTGTCGTCCTTCCAGAGAAGGGACATTGTTTGCAGCCGAGGCCTGGATTGCAGAGAATATGGACGGAGAAGCTGCAGACGAGTATGTCTCTTGCGAAGAGGCTTTTGTTGCAGGCGAAGCTGCTGGCGACGGAGAAGAACTGGGGCAAGTGCATTCGGTGGAGCAGCTTCAGGCGCATATTCAGGACCTGGAATTGCAGCTGGCCGCACTGACTCAGCACCAGATCGGCTCCGCTCCAGCCAGACCATTGCAGCAGGCGCAAGGGTTGCTGGGGGCTGTTCCCAAAGCTCCAGGGGTGCCTGCTCAAACAATGGAGAGACTGCGAAACTTGGCGGGCGCGGGTCCTACGCGTCTAGGTGGACACGAGAAGCGAGATTGGGCATTGGAGCTCATACAAAACGGGGCCGATGTCTTCGAAACCCTCCAGCAGGAGCTGGAAGCGGGAGACGGAGACGAACTAGCCCGGATGACAGCAGATGCTTTCTAAGATCCTATGCACAAGCTACTATTTCTCCAGATGTAGTAGGTCACTCTGTTACAGAAGCAGGTGGCTGCCCGCCAACCGCAGGATGCTATCCATGCGGCCCTCAGCAGCGGGAACGATCCCAGCAGCAGCTCCTCAAGCGGCATCAAAGGGTGCCTTGCGCGGGAGGCGTTCTTGAAGATTAGCGACAACTTGGTCTCCATTGCCCAGGGGGTGGAAACAAACGCTCTTATGGAATTGGGCCTGAGCTCAGCACAACTGTCTCCTGGACTTCTCCGGGATTATCTGGAGAAGAGGGTCCCTCTTGGGTCTTTCCGTCTGCTGACGCAGATGGGCTTCATGATGGCTTCGGCCTACGAGACCGGGCAGCGCACTGGAAACCGAGAGCTGGCAGGCTTTGGGGCGAAGGGTCTGGAACAGACCGCACTGGACGAAGGCAAAACGAGCCTGTCGTGGCTTTTGACAGGCTTGCCGGAGCCAAATTTTCCTTAGGTTCAGATGACCCGCGCTCGCAGCTTTGTCAAGCCGTTCAGCCGGCTATGCAATCCGTCCTGGGTCGCAG